TCCCCTCTCCCACTGCAGGCATTTGTACTTAGCCTGATTCCCCTCTCCTACTGCAGACATTTGTACTTAGCCTGATTCCCCTCTCCCACTGCAGGGATTTGTATTTAGCCTGAATTCCCTCTCCCTGTGCAGGCATCTGAACTTACCCTGATTCCCCTCTCCCACTTCAGGAAAATTAAGGCACAGAGTGATTAAATGTGTTGCCCGAGGTCACACAGCTTTAAATACCAGAGCTAAGATTCAGACTCATGTCATGGGATCCTACCCAGGTGCCTTCCTTGTCCGTTAAGGGTCAGAGCTGACTTGGGAGAAAGGGCAGGGCCCTCCCCTGCCCCTGAGCCAGGCCAGTATGACAGACCCCTGGCCTGCGCCATCATCACCCATAGACCCACAGGGCACAGAGCCATTAGACCCCAGCCATTAACTGGCCACTGATGTCTCGCAGGATTGTCTCCACCTTGTCACCCGACCATCTCCAGTTTGCTCCCTCGGGGGACAGCTTCCCCCGCTGGGCACCCCACATTGGGCACGGGGCGCACGTAATCTATATTCTCACAAAGGAGGTCACCTCTGCCCCACCCACCTCACCAGAGCCCCGAGAACCTCAGGTCAGGTGTGGAGGGGTGTCTTGTGCAGTCCTGCAAGGGGGGTGTGGATGGCGTCTGAGTCCCAGGCCCAGGAGCCACACGGGCTGTGCGCAGAGCATAGACCCTAAACCCAAGCTGATGACCCCATCTGGCCACAGGGCTGTCACAGCTGAGCCGCGTTAACGTGCCCCGGTRCCAAGCACTGCACCTGGCACCTAGGAAGCCCAAGCGCCTGGGCCTTTGTTCTGGATGCTAGTGAAGGACTGGTGGCCCAGGGCAGAGCACAGCACCGTGGTTGTGTCTGTGGCTGGCGAGAGCTGATGGGTACCACGTGCTGTTGGATTTAATATATTTAAGAGAAGCTTGAAATTCAGGGTTCTTTTTCAGGGTGGGGATGGTTCCTGGGGATTGAACTCAGGGCACTCGACCACTGAGCCACATCCTCAGCCCTGTTTTGTACTTCAAAAGAGACAGGGTCTCACTGAGTTGCTTAGGGCAAAGTTTCTGAGGCTGGCGTTGAACTCGAAATCCTCCTGCCTCAGCCTCCCAGAGCTGCTGAGAGCAGAGGTATGTGCCACCACACCCCAGCCTTGAAATTCAAATTTTGGGGGGCACTCATTTTGCTCTTAAGTGGGACCACAACTGTCCCATGGGCCACTTTGGGGACCTCTGAACTCAGTCCCCAGGGCTTCCTCTATAGTCCTAAACGTGTGTGTTACACCTCTCAGCTGCCACTGCCCCCGCAATCCTCCTGGTCACCCTTCTCTCCCTGTCCTGGGAGAAGGTGGACAGGTCATCTGTGGTCTGGCCCGTGCTCCTGTCAGTTGAAGCATCCACTGATGGACTTGATACTAGCTAGCCAGGTGGGCTGGGGGTGCTGGRGATGGTCCCCAGGGTCCTTCCTCCTCCCATGGGCCTCCTGGGAGTTTCCCACTTTGGAGATTGATCCAGTTGCAAGTTGGGAGCAAGAGACAAGCTCTTTCTGGCACCCTGAGGCCACTCACCCAGATGGCACAAAGCTCAGGGCCCCCAAAATATTGGAGCAGCAGTAAGCTGGGCTCAGTGGCACACGCCTGTAATCCCAGTGGCTTGGGAGGCTGAGGCAGGAGGATTGCAAGTTCAAAGCCAGCCTCAGCAATGGTAAAGCGCTAAGCAACTCAGTGAGACCCTGTCTCTAAATAAAATGCAAACTAGGGCTGGGGATGGGGCTCAGTGGTTGAGTGCCTCTGAGTCCCATCTCCGGACCCATCCCCCCTAAAAGACTAGAGCATAAGGTAGGTCCTCCAGGCCCCCAGGTCAGGGGCTAGAGGGACCTCAGGACCTGGGAGGGCGTCCTGCTGTGGTTGCAGCCAAACCTAGAAGCCCTCCCTCCTGAGGTCCCGCCAGTCCCGAGCGTGGTGGAGTGGGAACACCGGGCCTCTGTGGTCAGACAGGGCTGGGCTCCCTCCCTGGCACTGCCCTTCCCTGAGCTGCCAACCCCCTTCTTGGCACCTTGGCAACCCTTCCKCTTGGGCCATGCCAGTTGAGCTTGGCACACCTAGGAGCCCGCCTCACAGGGACTGCCCACAGCGCAGGACGTCTTTRTCGTCCCCTCTGCCCACACAACAGCTGTGTGGCCTCCTTGTTGCAGGGGACCCCCAGAGCGAGACCCCGGGACCTCTTCAAGGAACGCAGGGCTTTCCCCACCCTGAATTTGACAAGACGCCCTTGAAGGTCGCCCCGAGACCCCTGGTGTTCCTCCGTGGAGCGCAGGACATGGCTCAGGCTAGGTGCCAACCCCAGCCTCCTCGGTACCAAGGTTTCTCCAGAGCCCCAGGGTCTGCAGCACTGGCCCGGCCAGCCACCCTGTGCCCTGAAGCCCTTCTGGCTCAGTGGCAGAAGGCAGGACATTCAGTGTGTCCTGGGGCTCAGAGTGTGGGACGCAGGACCCCAGAAAACCAGCGGGCGCAGGAGCCACTCCCCAGGGGAACCCGTGAGACGCTCGTGGTTGGAGGAACAGCTGAAGGCTGGCATCTGTGGGGACAGGGCCCACCTGGTCATGCACACACCACCTTGAACAGGTCAGGCACAGGGGGGCGTGGCTGACAGGCCAGCCTCCAGGACCCCAGGACATTCGGGGGGAAAAGCACCCAGAACCATCCCAAGCCCACCCAGCCGYGGTTCTCGGGCCCACCCCACCCCTGACCGCTGACCTGTGTGTCTCCTCTCCACAGGGCCTGGCGGGTCCCCGAGGACAGCCGGTGGGTACCTCCTCTTCCCAGTCCCCGGCAGAGAGGTTTGGGGCCCCTTTATCCTGGACTTTGACCCCTAACTCTCTCGTTTCTGTCTCTTTGCAGGGACCCCCAGGGCAGAAAGGAGAAAAGGTGGGCACAGGGTCTGGCGTGGGGGGCTCCTGGGACGTCCTCTCCACACGGCTTCCCAACAGCTGGGGAGGGGTCGCCGTGGTCATTTTCAAACTTGAGTTAGATGGACAGGGACAAAGAGAGCCCTGGGGCCCCAGAGCACATGAGGACAGGAAGGGAGGTGGGTGGGGGCATGCCCTTCTTGGGCCTGACCCTGGCCCTTTTCAGCTCCTTTCTCTGCCCCTCCCGCCTGCCACACCACGGTGTGCCCTGGCCCTTGAGCCCTCAGGGTTACGGGGCACCGATCTGTACACCATTAGTCCTCTCGGCCCAGAGAAGGTGTCCTTGCCTTGGGGCCTGCCGTCAGGACTGGCGGGTGGTCACTCCCAACTCTGCAGGCGGTGTGCTGCGGGATCCCACCCCGTGCTCCCTGGGCGATTTCCCAACAGCTCTGAGGGGTTTGTCCCTGATGGCAGCCAGGGACAAGGTCTCAGAGGGCTCAGACCAAGGCCTGGACAACAGGTCTCGTGGGTGGAGAGAGGCTTGGTGGGTCCATGGGTCTTGGGGGCCCTGAGGATCAGGCCCCCCAACAAGGACCTAATCACCCCTTCCCTTCCCTCCCCTCTCCAGGGTCAGTGTGGCGAGTACCCACACCGGGTAAGTGAGCCCCCAACTGGGCAGGGCCCTTTGACCCCTCTCTGAGGCACAGTCCCACTAACCTCCTCTCCCCAGAGTCGGTGGCACCCCGGRGCCTGGGGGACGGGAGGCCACAGCCCACAGCGCTCAGCAGGAGGAGAGAGGCACAGGGTGGTGTGTGCTGAGTCAGCCCAGCTGACCGTCCAGGGGACGGGGACCATTGTGTGTGTTTGTGGGGGCTGACTTCAAGTGTCTCCGTCCGTCTGTCCTTCTGTCTGCTGACTGGGTGGAGTCTCCCGAATGTTCTGGAACTGCCTGCCCCTCACCCTCTCTGTGCGCCATGTGACTCTCATAGTCTGTCAAACCCCGCCCACGTCGAGAGCAAGTGTGTGCACGCCAGAGTGTCCACGTGTGACAGCCTTCCCTGGACAAATATGTGGGGCTTTGGGTCGGTCGTTGCTTCATGTGACCCAAGCCTGGAGGAGCAGGGATCATGGGGACCTACCCGTTCAGGGATGGAGCCTCTGCTTGGCCTATGGAGGACAGAGGGAGCCCTCCCCTGGAGCATGGGGGCTTCCGGGCTGAGATGGCTCCTCCCCCACCACCACCTGGGGCTGCTCCATCCCAAAATACAGGACCCAGAAGGCCACTGTGGGCCCACAGGAAGTCCTCAGTGTGCACCAACAACAGGCACCGTGCTGGGGACAGGAGAGGGCAGGCTGCACTCGGCTCCCTCCAGCAGGGCCCAGAGAGCCAGCTGAGAGCCTGTGCTCGGGCAGCAAGTACAGAGAGGATGAGCCTGCGTGGGTGGCCACCGCCTCTGTCGTGGGCTCACTGTGCCCAGAGACGTACATGTGGCTCCCCTCGGTACCACCACTTCCAGACAGTGCTGGGGTGGGGGACCTAGGGGCTGGAGATGGGCACAGACCAGGCTCAGGGAGGCCCCAACTCTGGAAGGCCCTGGGAGGGCCTGGCTGGCAGGGGCTCCCTCTGCCCAGCCGCCTGGTTGGCGGGAAGGCGTGCATGCCTGTCTCTGATCTCTGTGTCCCTGGGCCAGAGAGAGGCCACATGGGCCTGGACCGTGAGAGGCAGGGTTAGGTCTGAGGCCCAGGCTGGGCGGGGCCTGGGCTGGGGGACCCGAGCAGGCAGCAGTGCAGACAGAGCTGTGTGGCGTGGGCTCCCGGGGCAGGGCCTGGTGTTCCCGTCTGATCCCGACACAATAACAGAAGGGCAGCTGGGTTGATTGAAATGATGGGCTCACGGGATTATTATGTGAGAGGAAGACAGCATCCCCCAGCCCAGGGACAGCTCGCCGGAGACACTCAGGCAGCGTGTCATTGGCCCTGAAGGAACGCTTGGGGAAGGAGAGGACGGACCCTCTGCCCCTCAGCCCAACACAAGGAGAGGGAAGAGAGCAGCGATGGAAGGTTCCAGAAGCACCCTGGCCACAGAGTGCAGCCAAGCGTAGCCTTAGTCCTGAGGGACTAGGGAGGGACACCTGTTGGGCACCCTGTTGATGGACAGAGCACGTTGACTTAGAAGAGGGCGGGACGCAGGGGCTTCTGACAGCCCGCTGACTTCCAYGTGGGCCTCGGGCATGGCGGGGTGGCCGGCCTCGCGGAGAGCCAGGCTGGGTTGCTGGAGTCAGGGCTCTCCCTCTCCCTCTGCCCATCACCCTGTCTCTGCCGCCTTCRTACCCCAACCAGGAGAACCCGAGCAGCACCCCAGCGGCTCTGCGCTCCAACCAGATAATTACCCTGAAGGTTGGTAGGTCCTGGAAGGTCTCTGGCCCCTCTCTGCCGAGAGGCTTCCTGGACACCAGGTCCAACATGGCACACCCCGGCCCCTGTAGCAGGAGGATAGGGCCCTGTGAGTGGCAGCCGCCTGTGGTGGTGACCTGGAGGGACCCCTCCGCCAGGGGCTTCCAGTTCCTCAGCTGGACACCTTCTTGGCACAAGTGCCTCCTGGTTCTTAAGGTTCCTTGCAGGAGCCTCCCCTTAAAGTGCTTTTGAAAACAAGTGGTTGATTCCGCACCATCTCGGCACATGGATTCTAACTGCTTCCTAAAGCCTTGGGTCACTCGGCATTCAATGCACAGAGGGACRGGAAGCAGCAAAAATGTTCAGAAATAAAAATCACATTAAGGAACCAGACCTGGGGGCACACACCCGAATTCCTAGCTACGTGGGAGGCTAAAGCAGGAGGTCACAAACTCGCGGCCAGCCTTGGCAACTTAGACCTTGTCTCAAAATAAAATAAAATTAAAAGGGCGGGTGAAAGGGCCCGTGCTGTGGCAGGGCTCCTGCCTCACAGGCGTCAGGCCCTGGTTTTTCAGTCCCCAGTACAAAAAAAAAAAAAATGCAAATTGCCTATTCCCCCCCTAAAAAGTGGTTGACCACTCCGGAGACCTCTTTACCCAGCCTGTTTTCCAAACCTGCCAGCCCCGGCGGGGGACCTCAGCAGCACTTAGCGTGTGCCCACACGCACCACACCCTGGGCCGGCGCAGCCCAGGACCCCGCTTGACATCCTCCTCAGAGTAGCTGACCTCAGCCTTTCCCGTCCTACCAAAAAAGGTCCCAAAGGAGGCCGCGCTCCAGCCTGACTTCAAGTACCAATTTAGCTGGTCTGTGGCTTCTAAGCCAGAGCCTCCGAGTCTGCAGTGGTCAGCGTCTGTCCACTGAGCAGGGACGGGCAGGGCTGCCGTGCCATGTTGGGCCATGTGTCAGGAGGCCGCTGCATGGCCAAGGAGAGCCACTCCCCCATGCTCGGGGCTGCTGGCCAGCGCCCCAAGCTCCACCCTGGAGGTCAAGGTAGGGTGCAGACCGAGGGCCACTCCTCCTTTGAGGGACAGCTGTGCCATCTAAGGGCCAGCTGAGAGTGCCCGTCCATGTCTGCCCTCCAGCCCCCAGGCTCACGCTAACCTCTCTTCTCTCTTCCTCTCCTATGACCCTCTTGGCCACTCTGCCCTCCTGGTGACTTCTGAATACCTGCGACCTTTGGCCTTTGCCCTCTGGCCTTCACCTCATCTCTCTCCTCAGCTGCTGCCTCTCCTCAATTCCGTGCGCCTGGCTCCACCCCCCGTCATAAAAAGGCGGACCTTCCAGGTAGACACCTTCTGCTTGCCGACCTGCACGAGGGACTCGGCCACTCTCTGGGCCCCACAGGCAGGCTGGGGCTGTGGACCAAGCCAGAACCTGGCTCTAAGATGGTTAAACCCACATGGACCCAGGGTACCATAGACATGAGCACGCCCAGGCCCTAGGGAGCCGCGATTTCCACCACACCGTCACGACTCGGCCACCAGCCAGGCTGTCACTGTAGCCAGGGACTGTGCTATCCATTGTTCAGGCCTGATTTTATGTAATTCTCTCAACAGTTTTAGGAATTAGGCATGATCATCCTTATTTCACAGATGAGGACATCAAGGCTCAGAGAGGTGAAGTAAGTGAAGCCAAGTCACACAGTCCATAAATCACAGAGCAGGGACCCGCCCAGGTTCTCTGCCCGTGAATAGCTGTGTGATTTTAAACAAGTGCCTTCCGGGCCCTCTCTGGGCCTCAGTTTCTCATCTGTAGAATAAGAATAATAACAGGGTCTACTTCACAGGGCTCTTGTTGTCCATGAGGAAAGGTGGAAATAGTTCCTGGCACATGGTTCCTAGAAATAGTTCCTAGCTGTTGTTGTTACTCTTACTCATATTTGGAAACAAGAAAATTGAAGCTCAGAGAAGAGAGTTGATTGACCCAAAGATACACACACAGTGAGAGGTAGAATAGGAACTGGCAGCCAGGTCTTTGACCCCACATCCAGGGCTCTCAGTCAGACCTACATCCTTTATACTTAGAAATGCTGATGGCTCAGCATCTGGTCACCTGTAACCTGAGTGTGAGGAGTGAGGGCTTTGGCAGAGGGAATACAGCCCACAACCACCGGGTGTGATCATTGTGAGCAGCTACTTCCTTCTTCCTGCCTTGCTAACCTAGGAGCTTGGGATGGGGAAAAAAGAGATTTCTCTCCTGCTCTCCAAAAGGTCACTACTTAATTCCAGGCCAGGGAGCCCAGGGCTGCTCACCTTGCCCCTCACTGTCCTGACACTGCACAGGGAGTGCCCAAGGCACAGAGAGGCTGGGCGTGGCAGGGCTCTGAGCAGCCCTCTGGAAGCTTGGATACCCAGGCCCCTGACCGGCCCAGGCTGAACAATCACTCCCACAAACAGCTAAAAATACAGAGGGACGCACCACGCACACCCTACCCAAGGCCCAAGGCTGCGTATCACGTTACCCGGCCAAATCCTCCAGAACCTCCACACGCTCCAGCAGGGCAGCTCAGAGCAGCCCCAGGCCCGCCCCACCGCCCCCAGCCCTGCCCTGCCAGACCCCACTGCAGGGGAGCCCCTCCTCCGGGCCCCACAGAGAACCCCTCGTGGCCTGGGCGGGGCGGGCTGCTCTTTGTGGCGCCCTTGCTGGGGTCAGGCGTTGTGGGGAGCACTCTGTGCAGATCATCTCAGTCACCCCAGCTCAGCCACCAGGCGGGGGCAGGCATGCTCATCACCCCACTCTGCTGAGGAAGACGCTGAGGGCCCATCCCGGCCACCACAGGTTGCTTTTCCAGAGCAAGGGGTGGCTGAGCCAGAACCTTCTATGTGCCCTGACCTGGTTCCCAAAGCAGGAGAGAAGAGGGGCCCCTCTGCCAGGGGATGAGGTTTCTCTGCGGCTGGCCRTCCTGGGCCATGAAAAGCTGGTCCATTTCCTATCGATAAACCAGTATTGATTCTACAGGCTCTGCAAGACGGCCCGAGATGAGTTGAGAGAGGAAATTTTACATAAGCTCTGATGTGCTTAGCAGATGGTGCTGGAGGTCATTTCCAAAGTGCAGAGAATCGGAGGGAGAGCCCATCTGGACAGGGCTTGTTTCAGTGGAAAGGAGAGAGCCTGGGCTTCCGATCGGGGGTCCTGGCTTCACCAGAATTCTCCACGTGACCTCAGTGAGGGGACCCAACTTCTCTGAGCCTCGGTTTTTCTCTTCTGTGAAATGGAATTGGCGTTGTGGAAGATTCTAGAATTTCACAGTCAGAAAGGACCWCAGCGACTTGATTCAGATCAAGCCTTCCCTGGCCCAGTGAATTATCCTTCAAAAACGTAGGAACATTCTGGAGAATCTAAGGCAGAGGAGGGGTGTGGAGGATTCTGAGGGTGACTAAGGGCTCCAGGGCCTTGGTCGGGTTTCATCTGGTTGGAAACGAGGCTGCAGTGGTCCCTCTGGAAGGCCAAATGTGGTGAAGCCTCTCTGGGTTCAGGAGAGACACGGTCCCTAGGACCCATCAGCACCCACATGAAGCTGGGCAGGGCCAGGGCAATCCCTGARGCGATTTCTGCCTGCAGCAGCTTCCACCTCCACCATGGGCACCCGGAGCCCTTACAGTGGCTTCTCGGGGTTTGGCAGGTTGGGGCCAGGCCCCGGAGCCCGGCTGCTGGCTGCACCTTCTGCCCTAGGACCTTCCAACTGTCAGCTTGTGCAGCCATTGTGGCCAAATCTCCCACCTCCCGCTCCCAGGTCACCAGCTCCTGTCTAGAGTCACTACATCCCTTGTGGAGTCCACAGCAGGACTCTTCCCACAGAAAAGCAGGAGAGCCAGGAGGTCCCCTGGGGTCACACTGAGCAGGGAGGGTGGCCTGGAACTCCAGCCTCCTGTGCCCCCCTGTGTCCAGGAGCTCTCCCGCCACCAGCCCTTCTGTCTAGAGGGACGGYTCCTCCCTGAAACAGCTGAGCCCCAATCCTCCCTGCAGAGGTCTTTTAAAAAACGATGTCATGGCCCAGGACAAGGTCTAGGATGGCTGGCTKGCCCCCAACCCCAGATCTGAGTCACATGGACCAGGCTCTGGCCTGCTGATGAGGGAATGCAATGTCACTCTGGCCTTCCTGGCTCTCAGCACATCCTAGGGACAGGCCTGGGGGGCTCAGTGCAGTTGGGTCAGAAATGGGGCGGGACGAGAGACTAGAACTCACAGTGCCATATGGGTGTGAYGTCCTGGACAGCTTCAAAGGCTTTTCAACCAAGCCAAGGGCTGCAAACCTCTGAGGTCCGGCAGATCTGGTGGTGACAGAAGCAAGCCACAGGCAAGAAAGGGTAGGGAGGGCCAGGACCACCCGACCAGAACATTCCTGTCCCACCTGAATGAGGTGGCTGTTCCAMGGGGCAGGGATGTGGGTCCAGGGTTGCCAGGGCTCCCGGATTCTTTTGTATCAGATGCCACCAATCCACATTGGTCACATAAAGTCTCCTGTTGAATTAAACAAGAAGCCAAACAGAAYCCCAAGGCCTCCGACCTCAGGGCCTCCTTGACCCTCTGGAGCTGACCTTCAACAAGGGCTGAGACCTGAGGCAGGACAGAGCCTGGCTCAGCGAGAGAGGGTGGCAGAGGGAGGCCYGGGTGGCAGACCACCTGGGCTGGACTCTGGACATCCAGCCAGCCTAGGAGCCGGTGGGGCTGTGTCACTGTCTACCACTGCCACCACACAGGGCTCTGCCTGAGGACCCACGGCTCTGTGCAGCCAAGTTCTCTCTGAAGCCCCACCGCTTGGGGACCTCATATCTTCACACTCTTCTCGCTGCCACCAGCCCCTGCATGCAGTCACCAGCACCACAGCRTCATCACCATCACGCCACCGTCTCCCCCACGGTCACCTTCCCAGCAGAGCCCACGTGGGGCCTCACCGGGTGCATGGTCCTGGGGTGGGAACCGGTCCTTCTCTCCAGGGATCCTCTCTCTAACTTTTGTCTYAATGAACCTCAGGGCGAACAGGGCCAGGCTGGCATCCAAGGCCCACCTGGGCCACCAGGCCCCCCTGGACCAAGTGGACCTCTGGGGCACCCAGGACTGCCAGGRCCCATGGGGCCACCTGTGAGTATCCTTCCCCTGTCTCCTTCAACATTCAGCCCAAGAACTCTCTGGAAACCTCCGAACCTTGAACAGCCAAAGGGAACCTGAGTTCCCGCTATAAAACCCAAGCACCKTGGCCAGGCTGCTGGACGTGGGTGGCCGTGTGAGGAGCTGCCTTCAGTGGCACTCCCCTGTTGCCCTCCAGCTCTGCAAACACACCTGCTGGGTTCATGTCCACGCATGGCCTTCCTGTAGGGAGACCACCCATCGGCTTCCCCTTTCCCAGGCTCAGCAGAGAGCAACTTGGAGAGAAAATCTCCCAGGGCCACTCTTGATGGCTGTCCCAGACCCCTGGGCTCAGGAAAACCCAAGTCAGAGGCAGTGGTTCTGAAAGGCTACGAGGGGGATGAACACGCTTTCCATGGTGTGTGTTTCCCACTCTGGGCCCCCTGCCAGCCACTTAGAGGGACCAGCATCCAGCCTGAGAATTGGCAGGGCCTCCACTAGGAGGGGTCCAGGGGGGCAACAGGGACCCTTTCCAAGTGACAGGTCAAACCCAGTGGCCACCAACTTGCCCACGTTCAAGCCATGGCCAAGATCCTTCTCCTCCTCAGCCCATTAGCACAACAGAGCCGCTGGGCAGGACAACTCGGCCTGTGTCTGGAYTTCTCCAGAGAAGAAGGGAGAGGACCGAGTCTATATTTTCAGAGGGACGGGGCTAAGGCAAAATCAGCTTCCCCTTTAATAATGTTTTTCCTGTGGGTTGAAACAAAAGTTTTCTCTCTTATGACAAAGCTATCATGCATTCATGGTGAAAAAACAATAGGAACATAATGAGGAAATGTTTTAAATGGCCTCTTTCCCCACATTAGAGTTCACCCTGTTAACACTTTGGGGAGTCCTTCCTTACCAGCCATAAACAGGGTCCAGGTTGGTAATGTTCTAGATCCCTGAACAGTTGGCTTGTGAAGTTTTTCACTGCATGTCATGAAGCTGTGCTGTATCAGAAAAGAGTCCCTCATGATATCGATTTCGGGGCTGCTGGGCTATTTATAACTTAGCGAGTGAGTCCCCTTGTGCAATCTAGATCCTGGAGCAAATGTGTGTGCACATCTCTGAGGGTGTCTCTGAGGTAGATCTAAGAGGGAACCACGGGTCCGGTGTCCAGACAAATGGCTTCCACTGTGACTGGCCACATTCGAGATCAGCCAGGCTTGAGTCTGAGCCCCTCAGCTCCCTCCTGGGCTGATCCTGAAACTCAGTAYTGGGTCCCCCTGGGTGGGGGACACTCTGTTTGGAAGGCCATCACCACAGTGTGAAAGTCGGAGTTACTAGAAGCTGGTTCCCTGCTCCGCTGGGCCCCAGCTCAGATTTTAAATCTTTCTGTAGCTGCTCCCCATGACCCCAGAGAGGGAGATTAGTCTAATGTCCACCAGTCCTTACATGGGAAAATGGAAAACCGGGAAGGAAGTGCATTTAGAAGATGAAACCAAACCAAGCCAAGAAAACCCAAGTGCTCTAAATCCCCCTCTCTGCTGACCACGGCTCTCCCGCTCAACACAGGATCTCCCTCCCGCGGAACCAAGCCAGGTGGTTTTCTTTGTTAGGTTGTTTATAAGGAACAAACCAGAAAGCAAGTTTTTAAAACCAACTGAAACAGGCCAGACCTAGGCATCGTGGTTTCCTGCAGCCCACGCTTGCTGCCCAGACCCACGCCCGAGACCGAGATGGAGCCAGCCTCCCCTGGCCTCTCCCTCTGGCTTCCAAARGCCCTGGGTCCCACCCCACCTGACCACAGACAGCTGCTGTGGTCACAGCACCCTGGGCAGAGGGAAACAGCGGGCTCCTCTGAAGGTGGGCAGGGCCAGGGCAAAACTGAGGGCCTGCTGGGTAAGGTCGGTTTTCCAGGGAGGGGTCCCAATTAGGAGGCGGGTGGGTGAGGACCTAGACCACACCACACGGTCAATTTAGCATGAGGTCACAGACCTAGTTTCCAGGGGCCGAGCCCAGCGGAGTGGCCCACGGCTCCCATGTGGTTCCAAAAAGGGACACAAGCCTGCTGTCCCCAAGTGCCCTCCACAGGTTCCAGATGTTCTTCTGGGTGCTCTAGAACGGTTCTCTGCATACCTGTTCTCTCGGGATGGCTGTCAGGGGCCGCTCAGGCGCAGCCTGCACCATAAACCCACCTCACCTCGCTTACCTGTAGAAACCACCCCCACTCACCTATTTCTTGCTTCCACAGGGCTTACCTGGGCCTCCTGGACCGAAGGTGAGAGTCCTCCTGGGTGGCGCATCAAACAGGTGGGAGGGTTCCCTGCAGGAGGGGGCTGAGGAAGGAGCTGAGAGACCGGCCAGCTTGGCTCATTTCCAAAGCCCCGCCATCCCTGTAGGAGCTGCTCCGGTTCCTGCCCGTCTTGACCCGCTGCGGGTTCAGGCCTGAGCTGCCGCCRCCATAGAAAGTTTACGATCTCATAAGAGACTCGAGGCAGATGCCCGAGACACCATCACAATATCCCAATAAAATAGTGTTCGCAAGGTTTCAGAGCTGGAAGCCACCTTGGAGTCATCTGGTCTCTCGTGAAACCTTGCACAGAAGCCCACAATGTCAAAGAGACCCTCCCTTTCAAGCCGAGGGCTCTGAGGCTCTGGGGACAAGGACACTGATTTCACCCTTCCATTTTATGAATGTGGGAGCTGAGCATCCTGGGAAAAGTGGCGCATCCACCTTCCACAGAGTCGTTGGTGGAACCAGAACTCACCATCCGGGGTCCTGAGTCCCTGCCAAGCTGGCCCTTCCCAGAAGGCCTCAGCCTGTGCACACAGGGGCTGTGTTGATGAGCATAAGAGTCTCCAAGGAGTCTTGTCCCAGGGGTGGCTGGAGTGGCTGTTGAAGGGGCCCCTAGAAATTTGGAGCTGTTGGGAGGAAGGAAAGTGGTATTGTGTGGGAGCAGTGTGGCCGTTTGGGCTTTGGGAAAGTCACCTAATGGTTGTCTCTTTCTTCCCAGGGAGACCCGGGGATCCAGGGCTACCACGGCCGGAAGGTAAGAAGGAGAGGAAAACCCTAGCCCTGGGCAGCCACGGGGGGCCCCACAGAGCCCACAGAGCTGGGCTCGGTTAGGCACAAGTACATTGGACATGTACCACCCCGTGTGAGCTTCGCGTCACTTGTGAGGTTGCCTGAGCAGGGTTCAGTGTTTCCGCTTGGAAAAAGTCAGGGGCAGAGACAGGAGGGCTCTGGGCCTGGCATACCTCAGGCCCAGGAGMATCCCTTGTGCCCACCTGGGCAGCCATGTCTGGACTGGTCCCATGGAGGTCTGATAAGTAGAAGGAAGATTATAGGACCCTCCSTSGGTATKGCTCCATGCTGAGCTTGGGRACCATGGRTGGGGACCACYCTGCTTTCTGGCAGCTACCAGATCAGGACAGAAGCACTCCTGTACAAATAGCCCTGGTGTAACAATATGGTACCTCACCAGGTGCTTGTGCATACARGGGTGGGGGGATGCAGGTAAGGAGGGATTCCAGAAGTGCCCTGGGAGAAGACAACCAAGAGCTCAACTTTGATGAGTGGGGACCTGTGTCAGTCAGCTATTACCACGTAACAATCCATCCCACATGTCTGACTTAAAACAAATATTTATTCCACATGATTTATGCATTGGTGACCTGGGGGTTCTGCAGGTCTCACCTGGGCTTGCTCATGGGGTTGCTTATCAGATGATAGCTGGAAGGCCAAGACGGCCTCATCCTTGTGTCTGATGGTTGATGCTGGCTGGGGGCCTCTGCTCTCTTCCCCGTGGTCTTTGTCCTCCAGTTACACGGGCTTCCTTACACCATGGCAGGCCCAGGACAGCATTCAAAATGAGCAGCTCTCGGGACACAGGCACTTTCCCAGCACCTGCTGACATCACATTTTTCAATGCCCTAAAAGTCAAAGCAAGTCACATGACTAAGTCATGTGCCTCAGCSTAGGAAGGACCTTGGTCTCCACTGCTTGATCAGAGGCGTCGCAGAGCATCTGTGGTCATTTTCAGTCCACTCCTGCCATCCTTTCAGCCTGCCAGTTTGAAGGGAGATGTTATTTTAGACAGGAAACAATTCGAGCACAGGCCCAGGAGCAGTCGTGACGGTGACTGTAAGAGCATAATAACATTTTTCATCATCGTCACTACTTACTGAGCCCCTGCTACACTCCCTACACCATCCTTCCACCTGGCCTGTTTCTAATCCTATCAGCCTGGCATGGCCCCGCTTCTGTTTAGTACGTGGGGAAACTGAGGCTTGCGTCATGGCTTGGGAGGAGCAGAGCCAGGATTCAAATCCAGATTGGGGTTCTTCCGGTCTCACCTGCTGCTAGGAGCTCATCCTTGCCCTCCAGCCCCTGGATGGGAAGCTTCCAAAGCCTTCCAGGGAAAAAAAGAGGCAGGATGGAGAGGCACCAGGAGGAGGAAGGCATGTTGGAAGGGGAGGACCCATTCAACCATGAAACACACTCCTCACTCCTGCCAGAGGGYGGCTGCCGTCACCACGTTGTTTTATGGGTGCTTGGCGGGTGAAATGCTGAGGCCTGAGAGATCTTTAATTAGTTCTGCATAAACTGAGAAACTTGTAGTATGTCAGGAAGTGAAAATTATAGCTCCCACAGTTGCCTCTATCCACTCAKGCAGACTCACAAAATTTACTGCCTCCTGGTGCAGCTCAGGGTTGGTTTTCCCATTAGAAGCCAGACCTGCTCTCTCAAGCTGTGAAGGGGCTGAGGGGCTGGAAGAGGGTCCCCAGGGGTCATGGTRAGGCCCTGAGCTGGCATCATACCATGTTGGGTGCCTGCATCTGCTGCAAACCAGAATTCTGGTTCCTCCAAAAAGGAGGCATACCTCAGGCCCAGGAGAATCCCTTGTGCCCACCTGGGCAGCCATGTCTGGACTGGCCCCATGGGGGTCTGATAAGTAGAAGAAAGATGACAGGCCCCTCCCTGGGTAKRGCTCCATGCTGAGCTTGRGGACCATGGATGGGGACCACCCTGCTTTCTGTTGTTCTGGTCTGTTGTTCTGGGGATGCAGAGGCCCCAGCTGAGGCTGGGTGTCCTGACACTAGGGCACCTGGGCCCGGGARTATGGCCATCCTAGGTGCAGACTGTAGCAAGAATCCTTCACCTCTGGCTGCATTGAATTTGCAGAGACAAACAGGGTGCTCCAGGGCAGCTCCTGGCCCCAAGAAGCCAAGAGGCTAGCTCTGGGGATAGAAGGAGGCGCCTTCAAGCATCACTTGCTGAGGGTCGGGACAGGTGACTAGGGAGGAGCAAATGCCCTCCAGGAAGAGCAATCCCAGCTCCACCAGAGGAGCCTCCCAATGCCCAGGTCCTCCGGACAGAGTTGGGGAGGGAAGGCAGGGGCTCCCTTCCTGGGTTGTTCCAGTGGAAGGTGGGTAACGCTGGTCTGCGTCGTGTTCAGATGGGAGACTGGGTTAAAAGCTCTCCCGGTTCAGGGAAGCCATGGCTTGCTGGGGACAGGTTGGCTGCACGTTGCCTGAAGGAGCAGCCCCTGGCTTTCTGGAGAGACTTGGGCTCTTTCTGCCTGTGTCCAAGTCTTTCAAACCCACATGCAGAGCTGTCAGAAGCATCAGCACTCTCAGGGCTCACAGGAAAGAGGAGAAGGCCCTCCTCTCGGTGCTGGACTCTCGCCTCCCTCCCTTCTTTCTCTGCCAGACCACCCGRCTCTGCTCTTCCACCACGGCTTCTTCTCTTGCAGTGTGGAGAGGCTGGGGACGTGGCCCCCCTCCCTGCTTCTCTGGATCCCTGGAAGGCTCCTGCAGTCCTACAGGCTGGTGGCTCCCAGCCCAGGACAACAGCACAGGGTCCCACTCCCAAGGATGTGGGGGCACTCCTCAGCCCCACAGGGATTGGTATGTGTCTTGACCCTAGTGATTGCCACGTCTACACGGAAATTTGCTTCCCCTCAGAATCCCGAGATGAAGAGTTTTTTTGTTTTCTCTCTCTCTCTCTCTCTCTCTCTCTCTCTCTCTCTCTCTCTCTCTCTCTCTCTCTCTCTCTCTCTCTTTTTTAATCGTTGATGCCCAAAGACAAGTTTGCAATACTTTGCGTCTCTGGGTTAGCCAGAGTTCAATCATAGGCTGCCTTGCTTGGTCCTGTCACCCAGTGGTTAGAGCTCCTCCTCCCATGGTATAGATAAGACGTTCAGAGAGGTTAGCCCTGCGCCCAAGATTGTATAACTAATGTGCAGCATGCTGGGATGAGAAGCCACATCTCTTGAATCCACGCCTGACGGCAGCCTTAGACCACCCTCCCCGTGGTTTCTCTGGGATGGGGAGGCTGATCTCCCGAACTCCCTCCCTGAGCCCAGCAGCCCTCCCCTCCCTCTCTTCTCCCTGGGAAGAGCTCAGGTAGGAGGCTGAAGGGGGCGTGGTCACACCTGCTTGAAAGCTGCATTGGCTCCCGCCCACCACCCCAGGGAGGAGCTGGAACCCACAGGTGGGAATAGGGCTGAGACAGAGACCATGTAACTGCCCCTTGCTGTCAGGGCATGAGGGGACCCAAGGGGTCACGCACGGATCCACCACGGGAGTGTCCCTTGACACATGTGCAGGGAGGTCTCTTTCAGCCCAGGGTAGAACTGAACTTCTCAGCCTGCTGAGGATCAGCCCCATCCACTGCTACCTCAACCCTACTGCTGGACTGGGCCTGGCGTCTTCTTAAAGGCCAGCAAGGCCAGCTTCTCCACCAGCTTCTCAAGACCAAAGCCCAGCGCAGTCTGTGCCCACTCGGGCCAGCCCTCCTGCCCAGACCCTGCAAGCATCGCTGAACACCCACGTGGTACCGACTCCATCAAACACGCGGCAAGACACAGAATGTGCTCAAAGCATTGCCACCTCGGCTCCCTTTCAGGAGAGTCACTGTCAGACTACGTGGGTCACAAAACCTGAGGGGAGCTCATCTCCAAGTGGGGGTGCAGCTGCTGCCTCAGCCCTGGGGTGTTAAGCTTCGGGGTTCGCATGGAGAACCAGGCTGCGGCTCACAGTGCCTCCTGCAGGCTGCTCCAGACCAGAGGAGCCCGGATGCCAGGGCCACCGACGACTGCCCTTGCTCCAGGAGGCCTGAGAGACAGTCCTYGGGGCAGGGGTGCCCAGGGAGGAGAGCCCAGGAGCAGCCCCACCTCATTCTCCTGTCGGAGGGTGCGATGATTCTGACCTGCCCGTCAGAACAAGGACCGGGACGTCACTCTAGAACTACGGGCAGCGTTGTTATGACTGCCTTTCCGAGTCTCCCCTACAAGCGAGGCTGTCCCAGGCTCTCTACAAGCACCGTTTTCTTGTCTCCCTGTGACAGCCCCGTGAGACGGGTCTCACTCCTACCCCAGCTTACAGAAGAGCACCTCGAGGTTCATAGAGGCTCTCCCCCGGCCCACAGACAAAAGGTGGCAGAGCCGGGGCTGCCTGATCCCAGAGCCTTACTCGGAGTGACTTTACTCCCTGTGTTGCTTGGGCCTCAGGGACCCCAGGATATCCAGTAAGTCTCCCCCTCGGTCCTTCCATGGGAGAAAGCAGAGGTGGACGCTGTTCTCATAAGAAGGCCATGACTGGATGGAGGCCACCGGGCACCACCAGCCCTACCTGGAGGACCTGTGGCAGAATCACAGAGGACTTGTTGCCCTGTTCAGTCAAAGACTAAGGAAATGGAGTGCTTTTCCCATTAGCACCCCCCCACACACACTGATTCCCCAGGCGGTTGGGACTGTCCCTGACATCCAGTGCCACCATGCAGCTTCTCTCCACCCTCTGCCACAGCTCCTCCTGAAGGTCCCTGCACCCCTGCTGCTCCCCAAGGGCCCGGGTGACCCCAGGCCTCCAGGGGCTGCAGAGGGCTCCGGACAGATGGGAATCTGTGGGGTAGGGACAGCATTTTCTTTCAAAGCCATGAAATCTCAGTGGGGATGTCCAGACCATTTAAATTAAAGCAGATCAGAAAACTGAGACACCAGCCCCAGATCTGAGGCCCCCCGGGGGCTGCAGGGACGCCAGCCCCCACCCCGTGCTCTCTGAGCCCGGTTTCTTCTGTACTCCAAAGTCCACAGATTAATTAGAGCTGACTTTTCTTTTTGGAACTAACTACAAAATCAACCGATCTCAAATTGAGATTACAAGCCAGCCGCCCTTCCAAAGCCCTGGCCTTCCATGGGGCGCCCGACCCCGGTAATTCCCTAGATCACTTCCTGCCGGCCCTAATTACCGGAGGACCTGGGATTTCCGTGGTTCCGGTCCTTATTGGTCTGGAGACTGGCTGGGGCAGGGAAGCAGGAATTGAGCTGTGTTTTTCCCGGAAGGGAGGCCTGGGAACTTTTTCTGGGGGGGAGAAAGGCATGAGCACCCCACCCCCATCGTTTCCAGACCTGTGCCTGCTGCTGCCTGCTGCGCCCCCAGCCCTCCACCCCCCACTCAGCCAGGCCTCCCTCCTCCCCTGCAGAGAACAAAGGCTCCGTGTTCCTTGCCTTCAGCCCCGGGCCCTCCCCACCCAGACCTCAGGTTACAGGGGTCCATCATGTCCTGGAGTTTCCTGGCCTGACCTTTGTTTGGCTGGGAGCTGACCTTGAAGCCCCCTACCTCCCTCTAGACCATCCCAGTCGCCAAGTCCCTGCCCAGCCCGTTCAACAGACAGTCAATCACCCATTGAGAAGCCACTCCTACAGGACCAGAGCGCGGCCAGGTGAACTCCACAGCGCTTGCTCGCTCTGTCCTGTCTTGAAGGAGGGGTCTTCCACCTAGAAGCTGCGCAGAACAGAGGACCTATTGAAGCCACACTGCGCTCCCGTGCAGCCTCCCCACCCCCACCTGGAGCCTGAGTGGCAGCTCTGAAGTGGAGGCTGGGACAGGCCTCTAAGACCAGGCAGGGCAACCTCTCTCTACCCCCAGGGTCCTCCCTGGGGGGCCTCCTCAGCTTCAGCAACTGCGGCCCACCTTTTCCAGGTCCTGGTTCTTGGCATCAAGTTTAAAGAGCCAGCCTCCCAGAGGGCAGCCGGTCACAGCTTCTGCCCTCACGCGTGCCACGCCAATGGACCAAGACTCTTGGTCACTCTGGGGACGCCCCCTTCCCCAGCCACAGAATGACCCTAGATGGCTGAGAGCCCCTGAGGAGCCCGTGAGGTCCCCACGGGGAAGACCAGGAAGGGAGGAGCAGAGACAGATCAGAGCCCAGCAGCCCCTGAAGACCCACCCAGGCCTGAGCCCGTGGATGGAAACTGCGGCCGACTCCTGGCCGAAAACGTCGAAAATAAGAAAACAGAGACGGCCGTCAGAAAAGGAGCGCTCTGGATACATTCACCAGGACCAGCCACGAGGAAGGCCCCGCGATCAGAAGTGTGTCCCCATCCTCCTTCAGCCAGATGTCTCCTGCCTGTGTGCCCTTGCCCGGGTGACCCTGGAGGATAACCGTGGCCCCCTGTCACCTCATGCACTGTCAGGAAGCCAGGTCTCCTGGTCTAGGAGAGACCAGCACCTCCCCCAGCCCCGAGGTCAGGCAGGGCCAAGCCCGCAGCCTGGGGCCCTGAGCCTGACTCTCATGATGGAGGAGGGAGCTGCAGGGTGGGGTCACCCAGGGACCCCTGCTTCCTGCCCAGCAAAGCAGGGGGGTGGGGCCTAGAGGGGGATCAAGGGAGCTTGGGTCATGTGCAGAATTAGCCGACTTGACCCAGAGGAGAGGGAAGGGCAAGGGTCAGCCACCCTGCCAGGGAGGCCACCTTCCCAGGAGGCTCGGGGAGCCGTGAGCACATGGTGTGTCTTTCCGTTCAAACCCACGTGGGCCGAGGACCACACCAGCGAGCCAAGACCTCTCACACTGGTTCTGTTCTGCACAGTCTCTTCAGAGAGGAGCGTGAAGCAGGCCCCACCTTCCATCTGCCCTCCAGTTTTAGGGTGCTTCTCCCCGCCCAGGCCCCCTCCCAGAACTGCATCTGCATTCACAGCTAAGACTCCCTCCCCAGCCCGGCCTTCGTCTTGAGCTGCCAACCTAGAGAATGTCCCCACCTCTCCTCAGGGTGGTACAGAGGAGCCAGGACAGGGCTGGGTGGCGGGAGAAGGCGGGAGCAGACCTCTGGTCTCATCTAACTGTGCAAATGAGGAGACTGGGGCAGAGAGGGCAAGTGTCTGGCAAAGAGTCATACAGACGCCCCAAAGGGCCGTGGGAAGAGGGGTGCTGGAACCTGGGGGAAGCTGAGGGAAAGAAGAAGGGAGGAGAGGCCCCTGAACAGTCAGGGGCTCCTAAGATGGTCTCCCACCTGTACCCCACCAAGGGATTCTGTCTGGGGACTCCAGGATGAGTCAGCCTGGTGGAGCCAGTTGGAGTGTTAGCAGGGGACCCTGGTCCTTCAAAAGAAAGGGTGATGGGGCCCTCCACTGACGCTCCTAAGAAGGGCCTCTGAGCACCAGCCCAGCCAACTTCAGACGAGATCCTGTCCCGCCCCCTGCTGGCCACAGTGCAGAGCTACATGGCAGGCAGGCCCAGAGGCTCTCTGGGCTAAGCAGCCCTCACTGTAAGTGAGCTGAGCTGCCTCCAACCCTAGGGGGTCACCCAGCAGAGGGTGTTTGGTGCTTTGAGCTTGCTGCGGTGATCTGGTGGAGGCAGATGGAGCATCGGTGTGTCTGACATTGGGGCGGCCAAGGGAAACAAGTAGCTGGGCTTCAACAGGCAACAGACGTGTGTTCAAAGCCCTACTCTGCACCAACCTGGCAATCACCCCAGCCTCTCTGAGCCGCTGTTGCTTACCCAATAGACGGGAAGAGCATCGCTCCACGAGAGAAAGGACACTTGGAGACCCTGTAGCTGGAGAATGGAAAGTGAGGACCCCAGAGCCGGACAGGGAGGATGCAGGAGGCAGCTGGGCCTCGCTCTGCTCTTTCCATAAAGTGGGACTTAGCAGCTGGGGCAGACCTGGCTGCCCGCTGGCCTGCTGTGGCCCCCTCCTGAATCCGGCTCTGCCCTCCCCCATCTGTGGATGAAGGGTGAAGGAGGGCTCTGGCATTGGGAGGTAAAAATTCAGGCACTGAAGAGGATGAAGGTGAAGCCATCCCAGGCACACGTGACTCTGGGTGCAGATGGCAAATGCGAAGTGCTGATCTGAGGAGCCAATGAGGGCCATCGGGGGTCACAAAGGGCTTCATGGAGCCACGGTGTTGGGCCAGGGTTTTGAGTTGAGGAAACAGCAGAAAGGCATAGAGTCATGAGACTGGGTGGTGTTTCCAGCAGTGCAGATAAGAGCCGATGCACACCAGGGGACCAGGGGACCAGGCCAGAATGGAGGTGGCCCTTTTCCTACAGTCAGTACTGGGCAGTGGGTGTTGAAGTAGGGGAGTCTCATGACCCAGCCTGTGTGTGGGAAGCTTGCCTGGACTCCCGAGTGGAGGAAGAGTGGAAAGTCACACTAGCCATGACCAGGAGAGGGGCCAGACCAGCAAGTCCAGTAAGATGGCAGAATGGGCAGAGTGGACAGCTGGAAAGCTAGGGGGCTGGGGGCAGGTGGGACCAGGTGACCTTCTGCCTTTAGAAGCTGGAGGGGCTTGCAGCCTGGACTAGGGACCACAGCACTCAGACCCCATAGGACGGCTCCCAGGAGTAGGGTCTGTCAGGGCTCTGGTGGCCCATGGCATAGGCTTCAGGTAGAGGAGGCTACTGCAGCCTGGGAGCTTCACCTATTGCTGGACAACATCCTGGCCCTGGCTGCAGCGTCCTGCTGGGGCATCCTGTGGAGTTCAGCTCATGGAGACAGGGTGGCCCTCCCCCTCCCCTGACATGGCAGGTTATGTCTTGGCCCACGCACCTCCTCGTGGCGTGTCCCCTCTTTCTGGTCTTACTCCTCCCCCATGGATCTGGAATTTTCAGGGGGAGACAAAGAGGTTGAAGATCAAGAGGGGCAGAGCAAACCCGTGACATCCCAGACAGGTGACAGTTCAGCAGGAGCCTCTGGATGAGCAGAAACAGGAAAGGACACCGAGAGATAGAGGGGCAGCACCCAGGCCCAGACCCACTGGCCCTTGGAAGCATTAGACCCAGGTGATGTGGGAGGGAAAGACCTCAGATGAAGAGAGGCAAGGCCTCCCTGGCCCAGCTGACAGGTGCCACGTTGGGAAGCTTGCTGGGACAAAAATGGGGAACAACTCCCAGACAGGAGCCGAAGGGAAGGTGGTCACTGGTTAGCAGCCACTGGGCTGCGCCATGCTCCAGGCCCTGCCTGGTCACAGGGTGGCAGTAGATCTTGAGCACGTCACTTCCCACTCAGATTCCACTGGGCAGGCCTCTGTGGGGGCCCTTCCTACTCCATCTGTAACCTGGTCCTTCTGCAAGTTGACGTCACTTGGCCAAGGGCAGTGGCCCACGTGGCTGCACCCACAGCAGGGTCCTCAGAGCCCGGGTACCAAGCTTCCAGCCAGGCAGGTCTCGCTGACTTTCCTGAAAGCCACAGGCCCCGGCGTCTGGTCCCCTTCTCATTGTTTTTCTTCTTTCTTCCTCCAGGGAGAACGGGGTATGCCAGGGATGCCGGGCAAGCACGGAGCCAAGGTACCAGTCCCTCGCACACCCCAGGCAGTCCCCGAGGCCCCTCCCCAGTGTCCAGCCCTCTCTTCCAAACTCTGGGGAATCCCCAGGGCCAGGCTCCTTTGTGGGCCTCCTTCCTCTAGCCCCCTGCTGGGTGCAACACTTCCTCCCTGGACCCTCTCCCTTGCAGCGCTTGCCTGTCCCCCAGGTAGGGGCAGGTGGGGCTCTATTTTGGCCCACAAGTGATCCCTCACCAGTGCCCCCACCCACGTGGCCAGGTCTCCTCCTGGGACATCTGGTCATAAGGAGACTCTCAGATGACTCAGCTCCGCCTGTGGGCCTGAGACCCAAGTAAGAAGCAGGGACCCTTCAAAAATCACCTCCGCCCTCCCCACTGGGATTTACTAAGTAGCACTTTGGGTCACCTGTTCACCTACAGTGCGTCATCTTGCATTAATATAAAAGTGGGGTTCATTCTCAGCCATCCCTAACCCATGAAGGCAAAGGACCAGAGAGTTCTGGGGGAGCTTGACCCCACATCCACACTCCAGATTAACAACCTGATCAAACCAGTCCCTTGGTTTGGTGTCGTCTGCAATTCTCCCCTCCCCCAGGGGCCTCATTCTAAGTCCCATCCCCTCCATCTCCTCCTTCTTTCATGTCCCAGTGAAGCCCCTCTTCCCTCTCAGGGACACCCCCTGGAGCCCTGTCTATCAACCCATGGTCTCTGCAGGGCCCCTGTGGAAGCCTGGCAGGCTGGGTGGCCTGAGCCTCATGACCAGTGTGCCCACTCCGTGCAGGGCACTCTGCAGGGGCGGGGGTGCTGGGCTCCAGCAGAAGTGCGCAGTCCTCCTTTACCCCCTCCCCACCCCCGGAAAAGGCTAGCGCGTCCTCCGTGCTGCCCTGACCTAGGAAGCTTTCATACCATTTTTTTCTTTCTGCCAGGGGGCTCCTGGGATCGCCGTGGCAGGAATGAAGGTCAGTAAACTCTGAAATTCCACACAGGGCAGGTTGGGAGAGCTGGCTTGGGAGGTCAGCTGCAGCAGCAGGGGCTCCATGGCATGGTGGTGGGACTGAGGAGAGGACAGACAGGATCAGGAAACATTTTCCTCAAAGCAACATTCATGCCAGATGCACCACCTTAAGACAGATGTTGATGTCTTGCAAAAAAGTAGTGAAGCTTTGCCAGCCCTCACAAACCTGCCAGTGCACAAAGGGAAGCCAGTTCTTTGCCATGTGCTCTAAAATTCAGCAGCTCCATGCTTCTGAAGCTTCAGAGAGGATAGCAGGAGTGATTCTCCTGAACCCCCACCCTAAGCACCCATTCAGTCGGCAAGAAGAGGCACCTTGGACGACATTGCACAGGACTACCTAAAGGGGGCGCTGTGTCCAAACCAAATGTCATCCCTTCCTCTCCTTCCTTTGGGTTCCCTGCTCAGGCTCACATGTGCCACCCCCTCACCTGGAGGAAGGGTAGGACCCTCTAGGGACCCACAGCCCAGGAGGTCTCCCATAGCCTGGGGCTGCCTGCCGGAGCAGAGGAAAGCCTGGAGTGGCCCCATGTCCCACTGACACCCCCACATACCCACAGTACCTTAGCCTTAGTTCTCTCTCTCTCTCTCTCTCTCTCTCTCTCCCTCTCCTTTCTTTACCTATTTCTGCCTTTTTTTTTTTTTCCACACAGGGTGAGCCAGGGACCCCAGGAGCCAAGGTACTGAAGCAGAGGGACCGTTCCGGGCAGCATGGAGCGGTGGTGGGGTGGTGGGGTGGTGGGAGGAGCTGCTGTGGTTTGCTCTTGGCCCCCTGAGGACAGCCCAGGGCTCTTCCAAGCAGAGAAGGGTCCTCTTGTCAGGAGCACCCTGCCAATGCCCTCCTCTTCCCCAGATCCTGGTCTGTATGCGTGCCACGGTTGTCCTCTGCACTTGCAGGGCTCTTTCTTTGTCGTCTAGGACAAGAAGAGATGTCGCATGGATTTTTTTTTTTTTCCTCCATGGTTTGAGAAACATGGGGTTAAAAGTATCACACTGATTTCTGTATTTCAGGCCCTCTCACTACCTTTAAAATTCTAAATGAGCATTGGAAAGTCCAAAAAGAAAAAATATCTTATGCAGCACTTTCAAAACTTCTTTTAGACAAGAGCACCCCTTCATTTAAGAGGAGAAGTTTAGGGGACCAGTCTCCTGGGAGCGCTAGTCTTTGATCACTGCCAACCACTCCCCTCCCTTTGCTTATCAATATCTTATAAAAAGGGGACCCAGGAGCAGCAGGGGAACCTGGGGCCCCCAGGTTTACCCAGAAAGAGGGGGCAGTGGGTAATAGATGGTGTCTTGAGCTTGAGCCCCTCACCTGGCCTCACTGGCCCCTGTTGTGTCCCTGTGGCTGATGTTCCCTGCAACTTGCTGCAGGTCACGTGTCCCAGGAAGAGGGGACTGGCAGGTGGCCCAGCAGAGCTGCAGAAACTCACACTTGAGAACACACAGCCCCTCTTGGAAGCCCTCAGCTCCCCAACAGAAGCCCAGCAGGCAGGAGAGCCTGTGTCCCCGTCCTGTTCCTGGAGGATCTCCTAGGCTGGACCCACATCCTTCCCCTTTAGACATGGCCCATTCTGGTCAAGGCACAACGGAGACCAGCCCAGCAGGACAGGACTCACCTCCCTCCCATCACAGGGCACCACCTGGCCCTCCTTGGGCAGCTCCCGGCCATTTACCACTCAGCCTCTATACAAGGGCACACAGACAGGGGGTGACATCGAGAGCCTTAATGTGGCATCTTTTGTGGCTCCAGCTAGAAAGTTCTTTGAGATATCTGACCAAATTTTGCTCCCAGAGCACCCAGTTTGTGCTACATTTGAGCACCGCTGTCCCTCAGCTCTGTTTAGACAGGAATTTCTCATGTCACACTGCTGGGATGCGTACTTGACCTCGGATACTGCTGTGGACTAAATTGTGTCCCCAAGATTCTAGGTCCAAACCCTGACACCAGGATGACTGTACTAGGGAACAGGAGATAATTAAGGGCAAACTAAGTCATAAGCGTGGTCTCCTAATCCAAGGGGTGGCCCTGTAAGGGGAAGAGAGATCTTTCTCTCTCTCTGCCCTGTAAGGACACAATAAGAAGGCAGCCATTAGCCAGTGAGCAGGCCTCACCCGACTCAGCCAGGCAGCACCCTGGTCTCAGGCCTTCCAGCTTCTGGGGCATGTGAGACAGACTTCTGCTGTTGAAACTGCCCAGGCATTGTTCCAACAGCCCGCAATGAGTAATGTAGTCCCAGTGAAGGCAGAGAAGATTGTGTGTATAGGAAATGGAGCAGCAGGTGACCCAGGCTGGACCCGCTCAGCAAAGGTTGTCCACAGCCAGGTGACCTGCTGGGCCCTGGCTTGCTTCTGTGAAATGAAACTGGGGTTCAAGTATCTCTAAGGGCCTTTCTAATTCATGTCGTAGGGAGAAGGTGGTRAGAGACCTGCTGTATCCAAGTACCCCAGACTAGGGTATAGAACAACAGAAGTATGTTCTAGAGGTTCTAGAGGTTCAAAGTCCAAAGCCAAGGTGTTGGCAGGGATGCTTCCTTCTGGGTGCTAGGAGGGAGAATCTGCCTGTGCCTCTCTCCTAGCTGCTGGTAGTTGGGGCCATCTTTGGTGACCCCTGGTTTGCAGAACTATCGCCCCACCTCGGCCTCCACCTCACAGGGCTTTCTCCCTAGGTGTGTGTCTGCAGGCCCCTAGCACACTGGATTAGGGGCCCACCCTAGCCCAGTACGACCTCATCWAAACCAATTACATCTGCAATGACCCTGGTTCCAAATAAGGTCACACTGTGAGGCACTGAGGACTAGAACTTCAACAAGGGAGCTTGGAGGGAGATAATGTGACCCACAACAGGACACAAACTTCTCAAAATATTCCTTCGAAAAGAAGGTTTCAGTGAGATGGGTTTGTCTTCCTAGAGGTAGGAGGAGGTGGGCAGAAAGGTGAGGAGGGAAACTCTAAGGGACAGATGATGGGGACATGGAAAAGGGCACAGCAGATTCAGGAAAGAAGGGGTCCCCCAAGCTGTGGGTCTCCAGACTTCCCGCTCTCCCCAGAAGGGTCTAAAGGCTGCTGGCCTTTGTTATGTGTGTGGCCAGTGTCACTCCTAGTGKGAAGTGGCCCAGTGAAGGAGCCAATCCAAATGGGACCTGGAAGTGGAGCCCTTGAGAGATCAGCCCAAGGAGGGCCAGGTAGGAGCGAGGAGAGCAAGGCCCAAGACACTTCCCACCCTGTACTGTCTCCCCGCAGGGCGAGAAGGGGGCAGCCGGCTCCTCTGGGCTCCCCGGTCTTCTGGGACAGAAGGTAAGTGTGTGCCAGCTCTGAACGGTGGGCTCCCTGCAAGGCCCCTGGTCCTTCCTGGTCCCACACATTTCCTGGGGCCTCACATTAGAGGTGTCCCTCTACCAAATCGGGGAGAAGGGGCCACAGATAGGCTCTGGTGTACCAAAAATCTGCCCCAATACAAAAATCTAGGTAGCTATAACCTGAGGAGATTTCTTTTTTCCTCCTCCTCCTTCTTTTGGTACCAGGGCCATCTGACCACATTGTGGCCCCAGGGCACCCAGTTTGTGTTTACGTATGAGCACAGCTTGACCCTTGAGCCACATCCCCAGCCCTTTTTAGAGACGGGGTCTCACTGAGATGCCAGGGCCTTGCTAAGTTGCTGAGGCTGGCTTTGAACTCACGATCCTCCTGCCTCAACCTCCCGAGCTGCTGGGGATTACAGGTGTTCACCACTGCACCCAGGAGAGATGTCTTTGTACATGCTCGGAAAACCTGCCCACAGTCCACAGCTCTTAAGGATATTTCATTTTAAAGAGACTCAAGGCCACATGTGTCTGAGGAGAAGTGCACRAGATGGGCACCTTGGGAAGTCACGGTACACCTCCGCCTGCTAGAGGCTCTGAGCACCCGCAGCAGAGCTGCCAAAGCTTCCCGTCAGGCTCCACTCCTCAATGTTGTTAGCCACCGACCCTTTTTCACATTACAAAGAGCCCACTGAGGAGTGTTCCACAGAACACACTTTGAGAAACACCCCATAGTCGCAGGAGCTGATAGGTCTGTGGTTTCAGTTGTAATCCTGTCCTGCCTCAGTGACCAGGGCCACACTTTCAATGCACAGCAGACCAGAGATCTGGAGCCCAGAGCTAGAGCCCATGGGCCCCTAGTGTCCTCCTGCACTCAGCAGAGCCCGAGGGGTGGCCTCCTGCTCGTCCTCTGGCTGTAAGSGGAGGAAGCAGCAGGTGAGGGAGCTAGTGGAGTGGTGAAGTAACCCTACCTTCCACCCCCAGGGAGAGAAAGGTGACGCTGGCAACTCCATTGGAGGAGGCAGGGGCGAGCCCGGCCCCCCAGGGCTCCCTGGGCCCCCAGGGCCAAAGGTGAGTTCAATGTCAAGTTCAATGTCGTCTGCCGTCTTTACCTTCAGCGTGTCCTCGGGCCTAACATCCTGGACGCCTCCCCTTCTTTAGCCTTCTCCTGGTTTTTCCCAGTAGATTCTAGAAAAGTATGGACCAAGGTCCTGCTTCTAAGCAGGTGACCAACCCTCCAGGAGCAGTGTCCCCCTGGGCAGATGGATGGTCCCCCACGCGTTAACTGAGTCAGGGACTGAGAGCTTCAGGCCTTAGCACAGCCAGGAGCCCTCACCTGGTGCAGACACGCTCTGGGGGAGGAGGAGGGCAGGGCAGAGTGGAGGGGGCAGCTGCATACGGACCACCCTCCCTCACCTTTCACTGGCTGAAACTGCGGTAGTAAGGTCCGGGTTTCCCAGAGCTGATGTGTCCTGTGTTATCTGATTATTTCTGCAGCACAGGAAATGAAGGGGAGTCTCTCTAGCTCTTCATATTGTTGTAGGGACAAACGAGGCAAGGCACCGAAGACAGCAGAAACAGTTTTATTTGGCTGCAGCCAGGTTCAGAAGGCACAGCTTTTGCTGTCATCAATCCATCCCCTGAACCCCGAGTTCAGGGAGTTTCAGAGTTTTATACCCAGCATGGAAGGGGAGGGGCTCAGAAGTTCACAGTCTGCAGAAGTTCACATAAAAGCAGCTTTTTCTTTCACTGTTCTGGGCAAGTTAACCCTTCAAGGTCAACACCTGAGAAGGGGAGAGATTCTTCTCCCCTTTCTTTCCCCCGCCCCCCGCCAGTTGTTACCATGGAGCCCAATTGTAACTTATCTTAAAAATGTAGACATCTCTGTGAAGCTCAAGGCCAGAGGCCTTGTTTGCACATTTCTAGAAACTACTATACTGGATACATGTTTGAGAAAATCTAGTAAGGGGGTGTCCAGCACCTGGAGTGCTGGCATCTTCTCGGCCAGTGGCCAAGTAAAACAGGGCTACAGGAAAATAGGAAGTTTATCTACATTGAACTCTTTTGTAGAGACTCTTGTTGACAGTCCTAAAATCAGCCATGGTGAAGATTTTTGGAGAAGCCCAGTTAAGACTTTTCTGTGGAGAAAGGGGGTGCCACTTCAATATCTCTGATGATCTGACGCAATGTGCTCGTTCAGTGCATCGACATCCCCCACGGGCCTGCCACGCTGGCCCTGCATAGCAGGGGGGCTGCAGGGAACCTGCCCTTGGCTCACTCTCAATCTAGCAGGAGAAGCAAACCTGTGATTCAAAGGTAGAATGTAGGGGACCCCAGTGTCCCCAAAGGCAGGCAAGATGAATGGTGGGCAGGGTCTCCCGCCAAACCCCACATACTCCCTGACTGGCTGGAGCAGCAGCTTTGCCGAAGGCATCCCTGCCCGCCCCCTACTCACCCACTGTCCCCAGGGCTGTCCCATGAGTCACAGGCAAGGGGCTGCCACAGATTGGATCTCCCCTGGAGCTTGGGCAAACTTGGCCACCACTGTCTGCATCTTGAAGCAAGAGGGAGGGAGAGCCACAAGGCTGGGTCCCCAAACTTTACTGCTTTCCAGGTCCAGGAGAAATGTCCAATAAGTGAAGCACTTGGAGCAGGCCTCCTCCCATCCCACCCTGCACCCCCTGTCCTGGGCTCCTGCAGCCCCCTCCCCACATGCCCAGGGGCCCCATGCACCCCTCTGTCACCCAGGCAGGACTCCCCAAGATGTGACATCCCAAGTGCTCCAGACTCCCTGCAGGTGGGCTGATGGTGACCCTCAGTCCAGTTGGGGGCGGTGACCCTGCTGGGCCTGTGTGTACCAACCAAGGGCTGAGGAGGGCAGGTGGACACGGTGAATGGCACAGAGCTCAGAGGAGGAGGGGAGGGAACCGAGGGCTTCCAGAGGGAGGTGAGGCCCAGGCTGGGCCCAGGAGGGGGATCGGGATGGTGTCAGTTAGTGAAGCCCAAAGACYGTGATGCCCCAAACAGGAGCAGCAAGGTCTGCTTCTGTCCCCTCGAGCAGCTGTCCCAGCCCCTCTTCCTGTCCTCACACCGTGTCTCTCTTCCTCCCCAGGGAGAAGCGGGTATGGATGGCCAGGCCGGCCCCCCCGGACGACAAGGAGACAAGGTACAGAGGCTCCACCTCTGACAGCTTGGCAGTGCCAGCCCCCGCTCAGGGAGCAGCCCTGTTGTCCCTGACATGGAGCCTGGGGCACAAGGTTGACTGGCCGTGACCTCCCACCTCCATCTTTCTGGTCAACTTGGGCCTCAGAGGACCACCACTGAGACAGCACTCATGCCAAGGCCGGCCCGGGGAGGGCCCACCTGGGCTGGGGGTAACACTGAGCCCAGTGACTGGTAGCTTCCAAGCCTCAGGTCCAGCAGGGCAATCACGTGGTGCTTTTAGAGCTACTCCAGGGCTGTGTGTCCCCCGCAGGTGCACAACGACTCAAATGCCAGGGGGGCTGGAGGGAGGGGGATAGAGGGCAGCTCCCCTAGGGTGACAGCGGCTCCACGCTCCACCAGCCAAGGTTCCTTCCTGCCTTCTCGACACTCTATCTTGATTTTTTTTTTTTTTTCATTTTTGATGTTAGCTTTCTCCCAGAGAAGCTAGAGCCGGGTTTGTTTTACACAGTTAGCACCATGTTTCACCCATTCCATGTCCACCCCTCACTCTGGAAAGCGGGTGTCCCAGCACCTGCACCTGTGTCCTCCTCACACCTTCTCCAGCCCCCAGGTGTCATCCTGTAGGCAGGGACCTTCACAAGGAGAGTGGGCAAAGAACCACAGGGGTCCTCAAAGAACCAGGCAACGGGCCACAAGTGACAGAGCCCTTGCTACCTGTACAGAACRGAAATGGGAGAAAAGAAGAGCCAGGTCCCTGCTCCCAAGGAGGTAGCTCCCAAGGTCAAGGAGACAGGAGAGAGAGGTGGCCAGAAGAACAAAGGGGAGTCACTAACAACTAACATAGGACAGAAAGAAGCAGGAGCCCAGAGGAACAGGGAGGAAGAGAGGACGCCGCAGGTGTCCAGGGGATGTTCCCTGAAGGGGCAGAGCCTGCATTTTGATGGGCGGGGAGGTCTGAGTCTTGTTGGCCTCTSAGCCCCTCTGCCGCCCCTAACACAGGGCCTAAGTGGGGACCCGGTTTCTCCTGCACCCAACTTTCTCAGCCCATTTCACTCATTTTGTCATACAACAGGGGCAGCCCGGAGCCGCTGGAGAACAGGGACCAGCTGGCCCCAAGGTACATCACCTCTCACCTGGAGTCAGTGGGGAGCCACTTGACCTGAGCTCTTGAAGGGGAGGAAGGGAAGAGGGTGCGGTCCCAGGTGGGAGGTCAGATGGCCACTGTGATTGGGCTCACACTCCTCCAGACCTGTTTAGTCCCCAGTACTCAAACGGAGGCTGCTTCCTTTGCCATAGTACCTAGCCTCCTCTGCAACCCTGACAGTCCGCCCCAGTGGCTCGATGTGGCCAGTGTGGACAGTGGGCCCTCAGGCCCTCCCGGCCCAGGCCCTAGTTGAGATCTCATCTGCCTTGTAGGGCTCCAAGGGCGAACCAGGGAAGGGAGAGATGGTGGACTACAACGGAAACCTCAACGAGGCTCTCCAGGTGGGTGGACCACAGCCCAGAGCCGAGCCCTGGAAGTCCTCGTGGACCTCGGCCCTGACCCTCACACAGCTGCCTTGAGGCCCTGCAGCCAGGCCGTGGACAGGGCTTGCAGGAAAGAGTCACTCCCGCGGCCTCTCCCCTGGCCTCCCGCTGAGCAGCCTCCAAGCACATGGCCCCATTGTTTGTGGCATCAGGTGGCCTGGCTCTCTGTCTGAGCCCAGCTGGCCAGTTACCTGGCTCTGGGCAGCTGAGAACTCATTGGAAACATCCCAGCACCCACAGGGTGCTGCCCCTCCAGGGCTCTGGCACCTAACTCCCCTTTCACGGGGTACATTCTGTCTTCCTGGAGCATGTCTCCTTTGTGTGTCAATTTTACCCTATTTCAAGTTCATACGCTCCCCACCTTTTAAAGCAGGTGTCTCTGCCTTGGCGCCGTGGACGCTGGGGCTGGACCATCATTGTGGTGGGTGCGGAGGCTGCCCGCCCGGTGCATTGTGGGATGTTGAGCAGCATCTCTACCCACTCACTGCTGTGAGCACCCCACCCTCAGTTGTCACCCCCAAATATGTCTCCAGATGTGACCAAAGGTCCCCTGGGGGACATAACCCACCCCAGGTTGAGAACCGCTCCTTCAAAGGGATGTGTGTGTGTGCGTGAATCCAGTCCTAAGTTGTAAAGGGTTTTAAACCMAGGATCACCCCACCCGTCTCTCTCTGGAGTAGTTCTAGGCTCTGCTGTGCTGTGTCTACTTAAGGGAGAGATGGTGTAAGCCTGAGGCTCTGGGAGAGGAGGAAAGACCAGGGGAGGGCCCCAGCAGGTGGTTACAGAATCAGGGTGAGAGGGTGAAGGGGCGAGAGACTACCCGGGCCTGTATAATGCCTGCTGCGCTCTGTCCAGATTACAGATGTTGAGGAGAGGAGGAGAGGCCCCTGTGAGGGTCCATGATTGGGCAGAAGGGATCTTGCAGATGGCCCTGGACTTGCTCTTCAACTAACTGCCTGTTGTTTTTCTTAGGAGATCCGAACACTGGCCTTGATGGTGAGTCTCCGCTCGCTCGCTTTCCTGACCCTCGCTGGGGATGGAAGTAGAGTCCAGAAGCAAGAACTTGAATTCTTGCCTCCAGAAAGTGCACACTTGGTCCCTGGGTGCCACTGGTCAGAGGGTGTGCTGTGCCTGGGGCAGGGGCAGGACTGGAGGTGGGCCCCTGGAGCTGCCCAGCCCTGGGTCAGGGCTGCCCTCGGTGATGGCTCTTCACCAGTGCAGCTGTGCACTYGGGTGTAACTGGGCTGTTTACTGCTGAGTGGTGGAAAGAGCAGGATCCAGGAGGATGCTTTCCTTTTTCTCCTTTTATCTGAAAAACCTGTAGCAAGTCTCCACATGTCCTTATTTTCTAGAAATGGAGCTCATTATCTGCTCTCAGGAAACCAGTGAATTCCACACTGGGTTTTGCCCATGTGTCTACTCGGTAAATATTTGCAGTTAAAACAGACACCACTAAGTTTAACTCCCCAGGCAGAGAGGGAAGGCAGGACCCTAAAGTCCTCGGGCTAGGGGAATTTCAGTTCACCTCATATTTCCCATTCACTTAGAGAGGACACAAACTCAGAACCAAACACCACCTCTATGACGATCCAGGGTCAGACATCGGTATAAACTATGCGATTCTGGAGTCAGGGAACTTCATTTGGAGACCTTAAAATATATTATGTGAAATAACATAGAAATAAAACTTTCCTGCAAACTATTTTTTTTTCTTTTAAAGTCAATCTTAGGTATAAGATTAGGTATATCAAATAGATCCATTTTAAGTATAGAGTTTGATGAGCTTTCACAAATGTAAATATTTGTATGCATGACCCCAGTCCCTATAGGAAGCCTCTCGTGAGAGCTGGGCAGTGTGCTGTATGGTAAACCATGCATCGCCTGTTCATGGACAGGTGTTTGGGCTGTTTCTTGATGACCTAAGTCATGGTTGGGAAAGTCAAATTTATCTTTTTGGAGCCCCAGTGGGAAGGGCCTTAAGGGAAAAGCTATTGGCCTTGGCTGTGTGTCCCCCCCCACCAACTTCAATCCAGATACACCTGTGCTTATCGGTTTGCACTGGGGACTCCCTATGTTCCCCCCACCCCCCAAAAAAGTTKTTTCTACTAACAAAGACGTTTGAAAATGACTGATCCCTGAAGGCCAGCCTCTACCTCAGCCCTCTGGTGGTGGGCCACCCTCCTGGTTGGAAACCTCTTCCACATGCCTTTCCTTTCTCTCCTAGGGGCCTCCTGGTCTACCTGGGCAAATAGGCCCCCCCGGAGCTCCAGGGACCCCAGGCCAGAAGGTAAAACTACCTTGACAAGGGGACAAAGACCCTGCAAGGACACTGCCTCCCTGAGCAAGGGACCTCAGGGCCACCCCTCGTCCTGTGGCCCCCACCTTCCCAGGATTCTCTGGCCTGTACTTCCTCCCATGCTCCAGGGCACCGTGGCCCTGCCACTGTCACGGYCGTGTGGCTCCTCTCAACCCTGGGCTCCATCATTCCTCCCTGGCTGTCTGTCGTGGGGGTCCTCGCAGGCAGACACCCTGCTCCAGCAGACCCACAGCTGGGACCCCGAGCCACCCTTAGGGAAGGTGGCATTTGAGCCCCTCCCCACTCACCCCTCCATCCCTCACTGCCTTTGCTTTCCTTTATCCTCCCATCCTTCTCCCACCCACCCCATGCTTTGTCTTAGAAGGACTGTCCCTCTGTCCTCTGCCCAGCGATCCCTTCCCCTCTTCCCTAACTTTCAAAGGCTTCTCATCTTCCCAGACCAACTCAAAAGCCACCTCCTCCTTGAAGCCTCCCCGGCCTGGCCCATCAGGCAGAATTCACACCCTCCCTCTCTGAGACACCTACATCCCCTTATCACACCTTCCTCACCTCCTCCTCCTCCCTGACCTAAAGAAGTGGGTGGGTGAAGATGCAGGGAGCCATGGGCAGCGGGGCCAGGAGGGCTGGTTCAGAGGGGCAGGGATGCCCAGGGTTCTCAAAGACAGCAGTGCAAGGTTGCAGCTAAAACTCAGACCATGGAGCCAGGATGCCCTGACCCGGATCCCGGTTCCCTTCCCCACTGACTGTGAGMCTTGGGTGCATACTGTGTGCTTTGGGGTCCTGATCTGTAAAAGACACAACGAAAGCGCATATCTCCCAAGACTGCAGTGAGAATCAAAAGGCTTGCACTCTGGGGGAAAGTGCAGAGAAAGATGCCTGTACCCAGGAAATGGTGCCTAAGTGACGTTGTTATTGCCTCTGCTCTGAAAGTCACCTTCAGTTGTTCTGGCCACAGGGGGAGATTGGACTGCCAGGCCCTCCAGGACACGATGGAGAAAAGGTAAGAAAAGCCAGAGCCAGACAAGCCTCTGAAACGGCCTTGACCAGGGTGAGGGCAAAAYGAGGCTCTGGAACAGGCCCGGCTGTGCGCCCTCAGGGGATGCAGGAGGGGCAGAGGGGGCAGGAGGGCTGGTGCTGCAGCCCCAGAAGGAGCACTAAGAGCCAGCCTAAGGGGCTCCCTTTGCCAGCTCCAAGCAAGAGCAAAACTCCAGTCCTTGGACCCCCGTTCTGCTCCATCCTCCCCCTCCCTTTTCTCCACTCATATGCCTAAGAAGCACTACTGATGTCTTCTAAAGGGACCTCGAGGCAAACCAGGAGACATGGGCCCCCCTGGCCCCCAAGGACCCCCAGGAAAGGATGGGTCTCCAGGAATGAAGGGAGAAACCGGATCCCCAGGGAGCCCAGGAGAGAAGGGGGAGAAAGGGGAGACGGGCCCGGCAGGCTCTCCGGTGAGTGGCAGGCCGGCTGGCCCTCCCTGTGCGTGACACCTGCATGCCCACCCTTGGCTTTGCCCAATGCCAGCTGCTGGCTGAGCTGGAAACCTGGAGGCAGGAATCCAGGGCAGGGGATCCTCTGAGACGCCTTCRTGCCACTCACTTAAGAAGACCAGCTTCCTGACTCAGGCCAACCTCACTCCTGTTCTGTCATTGTCCATGTCCTTGGGAAATTCCCTGAGCCTTGCGGAGCCTCACTTTTCTTCCCTGGACACCTCATGGGTCTCTGGAAAAGAGAGAGTCCTGGGCACTAAACTGCCTCTTTGGAAGGCAGGCAGAGCCCCATTCCCACGGAGGTTGCATGCGGGAGTCCTTGTCCCCTCCAGCAAGGCTGCTGACTTGATCTGTGAAGTGGGTGCCCTCCTAGACACTCGCCTTGGAGGAATGGAGCCATGATGTGTGCCCTAGATGGCCACAGGTGCTCGGCATCACCACCCTGAGCTTCACTAACAGAGACCTTTGTCAATCTGTAGGGTCTAGACGGCCCAACTGGGGAGAAAGGAGAACCCGGTGGCCAAGGGAGGCCTGGAGCGACAGGATTGCCTGGCCCCATCGGGCTCCCGGGATTTACAGTAAGGCCAGAGGGCGGGGTCCTGGGGTGTTGGCAGACTGCTGCCGTTGAAGCCACATGAGCCACCAGCCTAGGGTGCCTGGCACCGTGACAAAGCTACAGTAGCCCCGAGCCCGCCCACCCAGCCTAGGGGGTCCTCTTGACCAGCAGCTACTGGATTTGAGTGCACACAGGGTTCTAGTCTCCTCAGCACACAGCACGGTGACCTCTGCCTTTAGGGCCAACCTAGTCCTAAGGTGTAGCACCTTGGACCTGGACTTTCCTTCTTGGGGTGGAAAGAGCCTTAGAGGCAGATGTCCCCCAGCACATCCTCTCCGGGGTGGGGCGCTGTTCATTTCCTATGGCTGCAAAACAAATCACCACAAGTTTAGCAACTTAAAACTACGCACATTCACTGTCACAGCTGCTGTGGGTCTCTCCTGGGTCTCACAAGACTGTGATCAAGGTGTCAGCCCGCTGTGGTCTCAGCTGGAGCCAGGGGCCCTCTCCCCAGCTCACTGGCTGGTGGCAGAATTCAGCTCCTGGAGGACAGTCCCCTGCCACCCGGCCCTCCCTGTGGTAGGCAGTTCACAGTACAGCAGCTTACTTCTTCAAGGTCAAGATCAACAAGAGGGTCTCTACAGTGTCTAGTGCAGGAGGGCAGAGACGTGTGTGTGTGTGTGTGTGTGTGAGACATGTTTGCAACACAATCTCAAGATGTCATACGTTTTTGTGTATCACAGGTACATGGTAATTGTAACATGCTCTCAGGAGTGACAGTCACCACCTTGACATGTGCCCAATTCCATGGCTGACAAACGAGTCACAGGTCCACCCCAGGGTCTGTCCACTGCAGGACCACACAGAACAGCAGTCCCTTCCCCACTCTAGAGCCTCAGGGCCTTGCAGACACTGGTCACAGCACCCACCCACCAGCAGTCTCCCTCCCACAGCCTCCAGGATGTTCTGTGCTGACACCTGGACCAGCCTAGTCCAGGTCCAGTTGGTCATAGATGCGGGGTCATGCCTGTGCACTCACACTGGTGCTGGCACTCACGTCCTGGTGTCTTGTGCCCACAGGGAGAGAAAGGAGAAGCTGGAGAGAAGGGTGACCCAGGAGCAGAGGTAGGTCACACCTGCTCTTCCTTTAGTGACTTGGGCAATGATTTGATGGAGGTCTCATCAGAAAGACAGACTCTCCAGGGTGCCCAGCATCTCTGTGCTCCAGGGTGAAACCTGCAGCTGATTGACAGGAGAAGGGTGAAAGCAAAGCACAGCCTGGGCCTCCTGAGCAGCACCCTGCTGGGCGCTGAGCCTCTGAGCTTGGCTGTCCTCCAGCAGCATCTCTCCAGGGTTCCCAGAGCACCTGCYGGGTTTCTGTCCTGCCATAGAATCTACAGACAGGAAAATAGACAGACCTGCTCCTCAGGCAGCCCACAGGCCCCAGTCCTGGGCACGAGTGACGGCCACTCATCACCGGGCGAGCATCTCAGGTTGGGTCTTGACGACTTTGTAGGAGTTCACCTCAAAGCTTTAGAGGAAGACTTTCCAGAGAGAGGCAAGGTTCTGTGAGATAGTGAAGGGAAGAACCCCAAGGGAGGGGGAGCAGGGCAGAGGCCAGGTGTCAGGAGATGGGAGAAAAGTGGGCACCTGTGTAGACGCAAGGGAAAGCCACAGAGGTCTAGGTTTKCGAGGGAGAGTCCACACGTGGTGGGAAGACCTGGACAATCCAGAAACCCCCTCAGRGCAAAGGGACAGGCCACCAAGCCTCTTCCTCACTCCCCTGTGAGGTTCCCTCACCCTGACACTTTTTCTTTTTTCTTTTTTTTTCTTTTGGTACCAGGGATTGAACCCAAGGGCCCTTAACCACTGAGCCCCATCCCCAGCCCTATTTTGTATTTTATTTAGACACAGGGTCTCACTGAGTTGCTTAGTGCCTTGCTAAATTGCTGAGGCTGGCTTTGAACTCATGATCCTCCTGCCTCAGCCTCCCGAGCTGCTGGGATGACAGGCGTGTGCCACCACACCCAGCTCCCATCACCCTTTAGTATCACAGCCCCACCTGGATTTAGTGAAACAGACCTGACTGTGTAATCCCATGTGTGTTACTTACTTAGAAATGGATAACGAAACAATCCTAAATCCAGAAAGGGCCTTATACACACAAAAACATCCTTCCCAGAAGAACTTAAAGTAAAAATTAAAAACAGCCCATGTTTCTAACAAGAAGAAAAGGATTGAATAACTTATGCTAACTCGTTTCCATTCCACTCAGGAGAAATGGATTCCATGTTAAGTAGAAAGAAGCAGAAAACCCAATTATATTTATCTATTTATATGTCATCACAAGTACATTCATATATTCAACTACATATTATTCAACAAAAACGTGTAAGGAGATTTTTAAAATATTAGCAGTGCTTCTCAGCTAGGTAAACCAATGATTTTTTTTTTGTTTTCTTTCTTTCAATTCTCTTAAATTCATAACATATTTTAATGAGTTGGTGCTACTTTTAAAGTTTCGTTTTTAAAATAATTGTACAGGTAAAATTCTTTGAAGTTTAATCCATTGCAGATTGTATAGCACTACCATAATCAGATCTGTGTACGTATTATTTATAATAAGAAAACAAAGTAAACTTTTTAAAAGTAATTTCCAAAGATTGTATTCCCGACAAGGAGACTGGGAGGAAGCTGAATGGAAAGCCCCCAGGTCCAAGGGACATGAGGGGTCTTCCTGTGTACCCAGTGCAGCGTGGCCTGGCAGAGAGGTCTTCAACCTGGCCAGAGTCTAGTGATTCTATCCCTGGCAGAGGTGAGGCACCTGAGGAGAACCTTAATCAGGGGTGGGGTGTCCAGCTCAGAAAGGGACAGGCAGTGGCTGWCCCTAGATAGCGGGTGTCCAGTTTCATCAGAGACAGACTCCGCAGTGGGCACCATCTCTGTAGAGAAGGAGGTAGCCTGGGCTCCTCCACCTTCACCACGCAGCCAAGACCTCTTCCACTGAAACCTGCCCTTGAGGGAAACGGGATCCACAGTCCTCGGATTATCCTTCAGAAACATCCCAGCCTTCCCCCCCATGCCTGATAAGCAGTCTCTGCTCCTCTAAGCAAAGGACCTCAAACTCAAATGCCTGCGGGAATCAGACCCCCCACAAATGAATGCAAGATGTCTGAGTTAAAGACAATAGGGGGTGGTGGAGACTGGGGTGAGCCAAGGATCTCATGCCTCGCCCCAGAGGGGCTGGGCCTGGGGTAGGGGGCGAGGGGCCTGCATCTTGCCCCCTTCAGGAGAGCTGTTCGCGCACTGAAGTCCTGATGAACAGGGCGTGAAAATAATTCTACTAGATTTTCCAGAGTTTCAAGAAAATGCGGGAGAATGGATATCTCAGGGCCATTTCCTGGCAAATCTTTGCAACATCATGCAGGCCAGTGGGTTGCGATGGGTTTCTGACCTGTCCTGGGCCTTCTTTTGGGAGACTGTGTGCTGAGCTGACCTCCAGTGAGCAGCCCTGTCCTCCTATGGCCTTAGTCCTCAGCAGACCCTGGGCTGTGTCAGGAGGGAGGACCACCTGGTGTGTAACTGGGCTCCCCTTTGGCTTCCAGGTTCCTGGGCCACCAGGGCCAGAGGGACCTCCTGGACCTCCGGTAAGTATGGACAGCTTGTTGGCAAAATTGCAGTCCCCTGTGCTCAGGTCCCCAACCCCTAACCACCAGCACCCAAGGTAKTCACTACTCTTCTTCCCTCCCATGTTAGACAGCCGTCCCAATGACACTGAGGAGCCTGGGCGTGGCCCCCCTGCAAACTGTTGACCAGTATGGCAGCCCTGGGCTTACTTTGTCACTAAGCTGTGCCCGACATTTACATAATCCTTTGTCATCCATCCTCTGTTCTTCCTCTCCCTCCTTCCTGGTACCCAACTGGCAAGAAAACCGGATTAAAATGAAAAGTGACCCATTAAAACCAGCCCCACTGGATTGGCCTTCCTGTAGTTGCAGAAATGCATCTGTGTGGCCCCTTTATTTTGTATCTAGAGGCCCCCCAAGCACCCAAGCCAACAGATCCTAGTCTGTACCTCTGCATGGTTCACAGTGTCACCTGTTGTCATTGTAAAGTAGTGGTAGCAATAAGGACACTAGTCAACATTTACTGAAACTTACCATGTGCGGGATACTATTCTAAGTACTTTTCATATGTTAATTTATTCAGTTTTTGTTCGATTTCCTCAATATTCCCAGGGGGGCCACGGTTTTTCTGTTGGCTGCTGGCTGGGAAAGGCTGGCTCAGACCCCTCCCAGGAAGCCCCAAGCATGGCCTCCCGGCATTCCCTTCCACCTGTCATGGACAGGGCCTCCAGACCACACTGCACACGAAATCCTTGCTCTTCTGGGGTCCAACCCGCAGACAAGAAGTTAACKGAGTTGCAGTTCTAATGCACCTTGTTTTGATTCCAAATGCAGGGACTCCAAGGTGTTCCTGGACCAAAGGTGAGAAGAGGTTCTGTGACGGGGCGGGGCCTGGGTTGGGGGGGCCGGGGGGGTTGCATCCATTAGAGCAGAAAAGAGGGAAAATGCTTCAGGAACCCCACCAACCCTTCTCCCTAAATGGCATCAGGTGACACTCCATCCAGCGGGGTGCCATCAACGTTCAGCACTGACGCCTGGCATGCTGTGGAGGCAGGATTTTCCCATTCATGCACACAAAGTGACAGGCTAGATCCTTAGCCAATGGTGAGATCCTTTTCCCGTGTCACCTGCCCCACACCATCCACTCAAGCTCGGGAGGAAGACAGGTGGCAGCCACGTGTGGGCCCCTCCCCAGGGCCAAGCCCGCGGGCTCAGTTTAGTGAGTCTCTCCCAGTCTCCTCCAGAGCATTTCAAATGATAAGGGGGGCCGCAGGCTGTTGGCATGACAAGGCCCCTTACTCCCTACAAGACATCCTTCAGGGGACTTTGGGGACGTTTCTTCTCCCAACTAGTTCATGAGCCTTGGTGCCCTGGTGGTAGAATATTCCCGGCATCTGCCAGCAGATCCTGCAGGATCCCAGTGTTCCTGCCYTGCAAACGGTCACCTATGTCAATGCCTGACCTGGAACTGCCCTGTGCGTTGCCTCCACTCCACCCATCCCTTGTCCCTTTGGGGAACTCAGTGTCACCAGAGGATGCTGAGGCGAGACAGGGTGGTAGATCAGGGATCCTTGGAGTCTCCGGCCTGCCACCTGTGGCCCAGCCACCCCCGCCTCTGCCCTCCTCTACAAACCCTACCCCTGTCTCCAGACCCCAAGAGACAAGCATAGGTTGTCCAGGACGTGCCCTCTGTGACCTCTTCTTTCTCCTTCCTCCAGGGAGAGGCAGGACTAGATGGAGCCAAAGGAGAGAAGGGGGCCCAGGGAGAAAAAGGAGACCGAGGGCCTCTGGGCCTACCCGTAAGTATCTCAGCCAGCAAGACCGCTGTGAGGAGCCCAGGCGGGTGGCCCTATGGGGCCGGGAGCAGGTGGCAGGGTGCTGGGAGTAGCCACTCAAAAACTCCAGGGTCTCAAGTTCTGAGTGTCTGTTCCAGAGCTCGAAGGCCTTCCTTTCCCACCAGGGAAAAACCTTGGGCTCTGATTCCCTTTCCTAGGGTCTCCTCCAGGTGCTCTGGGAAAATAAAAGCTAAATAAGACAGGGCCCCACCCAAGGCAAGTCCAGGGGAGAGGCAGACTAGCCTGAGGACAGCCCCAGGACCTGCTTGTGCCCAAGGCAGGGCCACCACAGTCCCCCTTGGGAGCCGAGCTTGGAGAGTCTGGGAAGAGTGAGACCATGAGGATCTTCTCCATCTCCCCCGTGTTCCCAGAAGGACCCCAAAGAACCCCTGCTTTCCCCTCTTAAGTACTAGCCACAGCAGCAAAGCATGCAAAAAGTCCTGGTCCCAGCAGGGTAAGGCCACTTGTTCCCCAGGTTCCAGAGAGCTCTGATCTCAGCCTGCCCAGGGCTCACGGCCCCGTTCCTGGTGAGGGCTTCTCAGAAGGTACCTTCTTGTCTAGAAGTAGGGGCTGGGCCAGATGAGTCCCTTTGCTCCCAACTCCAGTGGCCTGATGGCCTTTTCCCCTTCAGTGTGTCCTGGTGATCACGCCATAGCCCACTGAGATTGACACTCTGGAAGGAGCTTTCGTGCTCCATCTCCCTTATGGTCACTTGAGGTCACATATGAGGTTGGTCACCAGGCGGGGTCAGAGGCTGCTTCTCCACTGAGGCCACAGCCTTGTAAAGGGACCCCTTTCAGCTACTCAGACTCCTCCGGCCCCACCCCAGGGAACCACAGAGAGCAAAACAGCACGGGGCAGGCCTTTCCCCTGGCTCAGCAGAGCCTGAAGCTCTGGTCCTGTAATCTCAGCCACCCAACAGCAAAGCGAAAGGTGTAATGACACTCTCATAAATGCAACAAACGTAAGGTTACTTCAGCAGCTGATTTGCTTGATGTGCTACAGAAAACTAATGACTTTAGCAGACATTTCCCCATGTCGCAAACTGCATCCAGAATGATTAAGTACACTTTTCCATGGAAGCACCTTCCTTCCCCCCAACCACAGGCCTCTCCTCATGCACCCTCATGGCCCTGACCTCCCCAGAGAATGTTGGAGAACTTAGAGTTTGGCATGCTAATGGCACCGTGAGTGCTCGGGTAACAGAAACAAAGAAAGTGCCAGGTGAAGGACAAGTCCCCAGTCTCTGTTTAATTCTTCAACTTTCAGTAGAGCCATGGATCAGAGAAATACCTTGCCCAGCTTAAGAAAACTGTAGAACGAGTCTAGTCCTAGACGGCAGGTCACATGGGCTCCGGGGTCAGTAGGGAGTGATGGCACTTGTGGTACCGCAGATGCCCAAATGCCTTTCCCCTGGGGAGCAGCCCCTTCTCAGCTCAGCGGACGGTTGCCTTGGAGGAAGGAGCATTTCACGATCTTTCCATTTTTCAAAGGAAGCTGGACATCCAGGATTTTGTATGAAATCTCCCCATTTTCTAATTTTAGATCAAATTTATTTGCAACCCTGCAGCCCAGACAATGTATTCCATGGCACACATAAGGCCTGAGGTTCTGAGTGTGTGTGTCCTCTGCTCCAGGCCTCATAAGACAACGGTGTTAATGCTACATAGACACAGTAAATGGCTATTAGCTCTAGTTGTTTCCTGGCTGGAGCCATAGTATAGACTTTTTCTGCCCCCTCCACCGTGTCCTGTTGAGTCCCTCTCTGTTGCACTCCATAAGTGGTCTTTGATGCTAGCAGTGCACTGGAGTCACCATACCATCACCCAGGCCCAGTCGTAGAGACTGGTTACATTGGGCCATGCTGGAGCCTGGGCCTCTGTATTACGCAACTTCACCCCAGAGGATGCTGTGTGCAGCGGGAGTTGAGGACCCTGGCTCTGGCCTGTGAGTCAAGATCAGTCCCAAAATGATGTGATCCTAACTCTGAGAACCAAGTCCTTGTGGGGTTCTATCCAACCGGGAGAATCCTTTCCTGGGGAGGAAGCAGCCTGCTGTCCACCCTTCTCTGCAGGTTTCCCTCCACCTTTAAAATCCTGAGGTTGAAACCAGGCATGGTAGCACACACCTTGGGAGGGAGCATCTTGGGAGGCTGAGGCAGGAGGATTGCAAGTTCAAGGTCAGCCTCAGCAAATTAGAGAGGCCTTAAGCAACTTAGCAAGTCCCTGTCTCAAAATTTAAAAACAATAAAAAAGACTGAGTGTGTAGCTCAATGGTTAATTGAGTTCAGTCCCCAAAACCAAAAAAAAAAAAAAAAAAAAAAAATCCCGAGGTTGAGGCCCTCTGGAAGCAATCTCCAAGAACTCAGCCCTTAATAGTTAGAGTACAGCAACCACGACCCCACCGTGGCCTCCTTCCTTTCTGGCTTGTCACTTTGGAATCTTGAGAGAATGGCCCCTGGTTTTCCTAGATGAATCACAGGACAGCTTCAGAGCCTAGCGTTGGAGCAAGAGCTCCTTCCTACCATGGATCTGTGGTCAACAAGGAGTGAGGTAGCTGCCGAGCAGACGGCTCTGAGCAGCACCCATCTGCCCACCCCTTTGCCACGAGGGACATGTGACTCAGGCCCATCATCCAGTCAGCTTTTTCTATAAAAGGGTGCTTGTCTGGATGGGTTGAGTTTAGGTCAAGTTTTGCAAACTGTTAAGTCTCAGAAAAAAACGTCAGGCATCGTTAGTGTTCTCATCACGGGACCAACTCCTCCCACCAGGCCAGCTTCTACTGGCTTTCAAAACTCAGTACCAAGGCCAGTCCCAGCTCCGTGTCCCCAGGGCACGTTTATGTGCTGGAGACAGGTATGGTGGCACACACCCCTGTAATCCCAGCAGCTCAGGAGGCTGAGGCAGGAGGATCGCAAGCTCAGCTCAGTGTTAGCCTCAGTAACTTAGCGAGGCCCTAAGCAACTCAGCAAGACCCTGTCTCTAAATAAAATATTAAAGTTGGGGTGCTGGGGATGTGGCTCCATGGTTGARTGCTGGAACTCAGAGCTGGGTCCCTGGGGTTGGGGAAGGAGGTCCGATCTCAATAGATTTGCAAAAAGAGACTGGGAAGACCCCTCACCTGGGCCCCCCTCTGGTAAGCCTGTCCCCCACCCCAGTGAAGCCCATCCTAGGAAGAACATGAGGCTCCAATTCTCCCCAGGATTTCCTTTCTGATGCCCCTTCCCCGGAGCACTGAAAGCCCTTGAGAGAGGGGCTGGAAGGAGCGAGGGTGCAGGGGGCACCAGAGCCGCCGTCAGCCTTGGTCCCTCCAGCCTGCTCACAGCCGGCCACAGCCTCAGTGTCTCCATGCTTTTGTTGGTTTCCATGTAAATGCCGCTCCCTGTCCCCCGTCGTGTTGAAGTGCCAGCATTTATGTCTGTCCAAGTCACTGCTCTACTCACCTCTTCCCTCCCTGTTGTCCCCTTTTTCTCCCCCCCCCCATTCCGCCCTCCCCCTTCTCTTGGTCAAACTGTGCCCTTCGTCCAGGGAGCTTCAGGTTTGGACGGCAGGCCTGGGCCACCGGTGAGTGTCACTTCTCTATTACCCCTCACCCTGCCCCCCCATGCCCAGCCTGTGACCCCTCTGTCTGTCCCACTGTGGCCTTGTTTCCCCTGTGAGTCGTGCCTTGTCCCTTGTAGGAAGATCCCATCCACATTTAGCAGAAGCATTTTTCCAGGCCTCTGCACCGCGGAGGCTGGCTTGGTCTGAACTCCCCTGTCCCCAGTCTGCACCCAGGGACCCCAGACATGCCAGGTGTCGGGCACGGGAGGCTGCTCCTGCAGCACCCACCCGGACCTTGAAGGAATGCTGAGCTCACCCTGGGGGTTTGGACCCGTCCCCAGCAAACATGACCGTGTCTATATGTGCCCGTCACTCTGTGTCATCTTCCTGCTGTGGCTCTGTCCATCTTCTGTCTGCTCGTGAGGGCTTCCCAGTCCTGTGCAGCCACCAGCTGGTGCTGGGGAGGAGGGTGGCATGGAAGAGTGAGGAGCTGGAGGAGCACAGAGGCCAGTCCCAGCTCAGTGTCCCCAGGACATGTTAACCTCACCTCTGCCAGTGACAGCACCATCACTCGGCAGGACAAGGGAGGGGACCCTCCGATCCCCTCTCTATTTCTCAAGATTCCAAAAAATGGGCATGCCTCACTCCTGACCACAAGCACTTCTGCTTGTGCCAAACAACCAAAGTGTCCTTCCGGTCCCCTCCCCGAGCATGCTGCGAGGTCATCGGAGCTCCAGTGCTCCTGGCTGATGCATGGTACCTCTCGTGGGGTTGGTCACTGACTGTCAAGGGCCAGGAGACTGGGCTTCCTGCTCAGGAGCCATCCCAGAGCCGAGCACGTGCCCAGCTTCTTCCAGCCGCTGAGCCCTAGCTCTGCCTTGTGGGTGGGATGCTTTCAAGGCCACAGGGCCATGTCCTGCCAGGAAGGTGAGCTTCTGGTGAGCTGGTGGAGTGGCACTTAGGAGAGAGGAGAACTTGCAGACAGACAGAGGGAGGCTGACCTTCCCGGGGGGCTTGCAGGCAGTGCCAGGAGGACCTAGGACCTTTAGAGGGAGGAGGGCACAGGCGACCCTATCAGAGCCTCGACTTCATGAATGCTGCTCTGTGCCCTCCTAAAGAGGAGGTTAGCCTGGGTGGTGGGCACGCCAGGCGGGGGCAGGGGACCACTTAGGCCCATGAGTTTAAGACCAGCCAGGGCCACATCCTGACAGCCATCTCGAAAATAAAAAAATTAAAGAGAGAGCGAGAGAGAGAAGGTGACATGGACACAGCTAGCCCGTGATGACACATCTTCAGAGCCCCTGTGCATTGGCGGGCAGCGCCCCAACTCACCAACAGAGCCCTGACTCTTCTCRAAACATCCTTGTGCCTCGCTCCTCCGCCACAGCCCCCTCCCACCCACCGTCCTCACGGAGCACACCTGACACTGGTGCCTGGTCAGAGCTGGGGGCTGATCTGACGTTGGCAGAGAAGCCATGACCCCCCCTCAGCGGCTCATCCTTCTGTCTTGGGCAGGGGACGCACTGCAAACACATGTGCTCTGTCCTCTTTGACCCCCGGCTTTATTTTTTTCTCATGACTTTAAAGGAGAATGTTTGGGGGAGAAAAGACTCCAGCCCTGCCCAAACGACTCGCTGTGTCTGCGTGGGCGATGCCCAGGGTCAGGCCCAGCTTTCACACGGGCCTGGGAGCAGACACGGAGGTCACCCTCTTCAGTGCACAGAGGGGAACACTGCCACCCAGACAGGCTGCTTCCAGACAGCGTGGGAGTCTGTCGGCCTTGGCAGCAGGACTGGAGCCTGGCCCAGGGCCTGGGGAGCCCTGTTCTGGGCTGTCACTCCRATCTGGACTGTCACCTTGGCAGTTCCTCAGTGGCACATGCCCACGGCCTCCCTTCTTCCTCACAGTTGCCAGTCTGTGCACTGAGCTGACCTGGTGGCTTTTCTCACGTGGAGAAAGTCAGCATTTTCCCACTTGCTTGAGCCCCACCTTTCCCAGAGACACCCAGAGCTCCAGAAATCACCCCCAGGCCCAACCAAGCCCCCCGCCCTTGCCTGAGTGAGACAGAGAAAGGAGACTGTGAAATCGAGGCTTGGTCCAGTCCGGCTGCAGGTGGGAACCAAGGGAAGGTACCTGATGGTGCCACAGGAAGCCCTGCTCCATCTCCAAGCAACGCCAGCCCCCACTGCCCCCCGCCCTGAGTTAGAAGAGGTCACAGCCCACCTCTCTGCAGGCCCATGAGGTGCAGGCTCCCGAGGCACACTAACTAATCCCCTCCAATCCAGTCTGTTCCCAGGACGCAGGGTGGGCTCAGAAGCCAGGGCCAGGGACAGGTCTGCTGGATGGCCCTCTCACGCCTGCCTCTCTCTGTGCATCTGCCTTGGTCTCTGTGGCATGAAGACCCTCCTGCTGCATGTGAAGCTGCGACAGCAAAGGGGTGCCCGCCCTAGGCCCCACCCCCGGGACAGGGTCACTTCCCTCCCAAGTGCTTCTGGGAGCCAACTCGGCAACCACTCTGCCATTTTCAGCCTTGGCAAGCTTGGCTGTGACATAAAAGGGTTTCGTCCCCCAAATCTGGCTCTGAGGCAGGGGCCAGCGCTCTTTCCTCCAAGGCCCCCAAGCTCCAAAAGGATCATAAACGGCCCCATCAAATGGCCACCCTGAACAAGCCTGGCCTCGCCAACCCTGAAAACTGGGCCCTGGACCTTGCTCATCTCCAGCGGTCGGGCGGGACTCCCAGGGCTCCCCAGCAGCCAGCCCCTCAACTCTCCTTTCTTTCACCCCCTCAGGGTACCCCAGGACCAATTGGAGTTCCAGGCCCAGCTGGACCAAAGGGCGAGAGGGTGAGAGCGTGGTGGGCGGGAGGGCGTGTTACAGGCCACCCTTCTCAGCCTCAGCACCCAGGACCCCACGGGGTCCCCACGACAGCTGCAGGGGGCTCAGCCCTCATCGCTGCCTTCCGCTGTCACTGCTGGTCACTGTCCAGCAGCCTGGGGGAGCCAGGAGGGCCTGGGGGAGGGGGAGCCTTTCAAGTGCCACAAGTGGACAGAGAAACCCTCCACTTGGGTTTCTAGTCACCTGTCACCTGTCATGGTTCAGTCTGACAAGGCCCCAGGGGGTGTTATGACTCCATGTGCCTAAATTTCATAATGAGGTAGGGAAACGGCAGAGACACAGCGCCAGGTGTTTAGAAAGACCCTTAGAGGACATCAAGCAGTCAGGAGGCCAGGGTGTCAGGCATGGTCCCCACAGTCACTGAGATGAGTGGCCTTGGCAATGTAAGGTGACACTTGAGATCCAGCCCCGTCCCACGCCAAGTGGGTGAGAGGTGAGGGTCGAGGAGGCCAGTGTGCAGGACGGCCACCTGTCTTCCGGCACCCGGAAGCCCCTGTTTCCACACTCTCGGGACGGGGGCTCTCTGGAGGGCAGGCTGGTCCCCAGGGACACCTGTGGACTTCTCCACCTGCACCAGCAGCTCCCTTCTCTCCATCCACCCACCTGGCTGACCGTCTCTGGGACGCAGAGGGTGGGCATCTCCCGCAGGGGGGCCTGGGCTGCTCTGAGATCACTTCAGGGAAGAAACCACAGCTCCCTGCCCTTCCCCTCCTCTCGGCCACCTTCCTGCCCCTCTTTCTCCTCCCCTGCTTCTCTCTCGGGCCAACCAGTACCCTCAGGACACTGCTCAGTCCTTCCAGAGGGCCTGGGGGGCCAGGCGCTGCTGGAGGGAGAGTGAGGGGATTCCAAGTCCCTCCAGAGCAGAGTCTGCACCCGTGTCCCCCACCTCTCACCCAGACCTTGCTTCCAGAGGGTTCTTTGAGGAGGCCGGAGAGGCTCCCGGTCTCTGTACCAGAATAGGAGCTGGTTACGGAAGACRGGTACCTCATCAGGGAGGGTCCATGGTTTCTTTCTCTCGTTTCAGGGCAGCAAAGGAGACCCAGGGATGACAGGACCAACGGGAGCAGCTGGGCTTCCTGTGAGTCTGGGGGAATCAGAGGTTTCTCTCTGCCCACCCCTGTCCCCCGCCACCCAACAACGAGGTCAAAACCGTGTCCAGAACCTGAAGCACAGATCTCGGGCTGAGGGAGAAGTCTCGTTCCCATGATAGAGGGAGCTGCCAAGAGGCCACTAGGAGGTGCTAGAACTTCCTGGGGTCCCTGGCAGGGGACCAGGTGCTCAGCCCTCTGGCCCATCTCAAGGGATGTAGTCATGTCCCAAGCCCTTCTACTTGAGCCTCTGTCATGGACACAGAGGGGCCTCCCAAGTGAATGTGCCATGCATGGTTCCTGCCCTCGAGGAGGGGCAAAATCAACTCCAGATCTCTAGGTCACAGAAAGGAGATGTGCTGTGAGTCACTGAGCTTTCTCAGGGCAGCTGGACCTCAGGGAATGGACCTAGCATCCATCCGTAGCACATTCACCTGTTGGCTTGTTRTCAAGGTCCAGTGTCTGCCCCAAAGAGCCTGGACCTCTGCTTTTTCCCATCCACTTGAAGACTGAGCACATGTGGCCTGGGTGGGCTTGTCTGGGCCAGTCCCCCTCCCRCTCGTTCCCCTGGAGCAACTGCACCTTGAAAGAGGGTCTGAGAAATTGCAAGGTCATGGGCTAGCAAGGGCCTGGCAGGAGAGCCAAGGAACTCTCCACCAAGAGCACCGCGTGCCTGACTGCTCGGCCTCGGACCCACCACGCCTCCGTGTGCGCCATCTTGGAAGAACGTGACTACCAGCCAGGATACAGGCTGGAGAGCAGGATGGCGATGTGGCTCGGTGGCTAGGTGCCCCGGGTTCAATTCCCAGTACAAAAAAATAAAATAAAATAAGAAGAAGAAAAGAAAACTCATTTGCCTCTAGGTCAAGTCCCCCTCCTGTAAAATGGGGACAATCAAGCCTGTCCCTGCTGAATTAGGGGTCCATACAGCTCTTTCTGAGCCTGGAGGGAGTGACTGCCTGACCGTTCTCTGTCTTTCCCATTAACGTGTCTTTCTGTCTCTGATTTATTGCAGGGTTTACATGGACCACCCGGGGACAAAGGGAACCGGGTAAGTCTGAGCCCTACACTTGAGCGCTGCTTACTAACGTCTTCCTGAAGGGCTGGAATGATCAACAAGGGATTCTTAGCCCAACATGGAAAATACCGTTTCTCCTGATAAATCACTCTAAATCGAAAGACGTAAGAAGGAGGCCTTTATCCACACACAGCATACAGAGAGGCRGGGGCCTGATCTTGAAATTGAAGCGTGTGTGTTTCCACATTCCCCCGGGGACACTGAATGCCGGTGGCTGTCAGCTTAGCATGGCCATACAGAGCCCAGTGTCCAGCGCTCTCCATGTTGCCCTGATAACGGCCCCTAAATGATGCTTTCAGACCCTTTCCTACCTGGTCCTCACCTTCTGCCAGGAATTCCAGGGTACTGGCAAGCAAGAAAAACCCAGAGGAAAGCAGACAGCTGAGTCAGCAGCCCAGCCCTTAAGAAAATACCACGATTTCTCCTGGAGTCTGAAATGAATTGTGCCTTCCAGACCCCCTTCCCTCCTGCCGTCTTTACCACGGCATGCTGACTGTTCACGGCACCCTCGGCCTCTTGATGGCTTATGACATGTGCCACAGCCTTGGCTACTTGGGTCCAGCTGTGATCATTTAACTATATCTGACCCAGAGAGGACCTGTAGGTGCTTTCTAGAAGGTCTCTGTTTCTACCTCTCAGGGGTTCTCTCTTGGCTGCACATGCCCCCTAGAGGCCCAGGAGCATCTTCTAGTGCGTCATAAAAATCCAAGGATCTTAGACGGGAAGGAATGGGAGGAACAGATTGATGGAGAAATGCAACCTGGAAAGATAATAGAATGTACTGAGGTCCCCCAGAGAGCTAGGGCACACACCTGTATTCCAGAATGCAGCTCTCTGAACACTGATACCATGTCCATGGACAGAAAGTCCCAGGTGCTCTGTGTTTACGTATGGCAGCAGTTAATTCCATTTCCTTCCATTTAAGAAGCGCTTCCTGAGCACTCCTCTGTTCCCAAACACTCTTCACTGGCAGTTGGTCAACACCATTCCAATTTCCCCCACAAATTCTATAAACCAGAGAGAGCAGACAGAGCTACCCCTACCAGACTGTCCATGGCCAGACTCAGTCTAGAAGTCCTGGGCCAGCAAGGGCCTGGCAGGAGGGCCAAGGAATCCTCCTCCACCAAGAGCACTGTGGGACAGGCAGACCCACTGATGGCCGGTCTTTCGGGCCTCTCTGTGATCATTCCAGCCCTTCTTTGGCATACTGACCTCCTTTCTAACTTATTTCTAACGTGTTCTGGTTTTCTTTATTATAGTCCACTTGTGAAACCGATTTCTTAAAAGACTTTTTCAGTTGGCTGAAGGCACTGAGCCATGTGAAGATTGCAGGTGACGAAAAGGGTGTTGCTCGAGAGGTGGAAGTGAAGTGCCCTGTCACAGGTGGAGGGAGCGGGAGGAGACAGCCCAGGCTGGAGACTCGGATGCCCAAGCAACTGGTGTTATGACGATCCTCTGAGGCCCCAGTAGGAAGATATTCATGTCCCTTTCCTGGTGTTTAACACTGCCCCTGTCCCATGTCTAAATTAGGAATGTGTCAGGTCTAAGTCAAGTTCAGAAAACAGTAAAGTAGCTCAATGCTTCCTTGGAGTTCACCAGAAAGAGCCGGGTGACTTATCACAAAGAGCACATTTAGAACCCAAAGCACAGCCTGCACCCTTCATCCAAGAGACCTGACTTGCAGGTGCTCCAAGGGTCTCTTCTAAATCCCGGCCTCCTGGCTCACACCTGGTTCCACCTCTCTAGGCACTGCTCTGAGATGTGAGGCCTTGGTAATGAAGCCTCCTAAACAAAGAAAGGCCCAGCAGGCTGGTACAGGCTGGCACAGGGCTTTGGACTTTGTTTGGTTTTGTTTTTCTTCCTGAAAGCTCAGGATCTTGATGTTTCAGTCCAGGTGAAATGCCAGAGGGTGAGGGCAGCATTCGGGTTAGAAACCTCTGTGTTACCTGGAGGTGAAGCTAGAGATGCTCAAATCCCCCACACACCTGAGTTTGGGAGGAGGCTTCCTGTAAGACAGCCCTAAGCTTTGCCCTCATCAAGCCTGGGGGATCCAGCAGAGATTTGTTCTAGCCTTCAGTGGGCTAAGACAACCTTAAAATGAGGCTGCCCTGTGTCCCAGCCACGGGTGGCCTTATAACCTCTTTCCTGTGTAGGAAGGAAGAAAGAAAGAAGGTCCTCATAGAGGTGGGCCAAGGCCCAGGTCCAAAGCAGGGAGCCTAAGGCTGCCCCAGACAGCAAGAACAACACTCTACCCTTGTCACTAAGGGCACCCTCTCTCTAAGTAGCTCTGTGAATTTGGCCCAAGAGCCATGTTTAGGATCAAAACATCAGTCAGAGGACAAAGGGGAGCATGAGGCCAGCCATGTGATCATCGGAGAGTTGGGGTGTTACCCTGGAGCTACCTGAGAGCTGGCCAACTGGAAAGGTCTGAGCATGCTGTGAGGAGCCTTGCCACTTCCAGATGCCTGACTGGGTGTGTGCACGCATGCGCGTGTGTGTGTGCATGCATGTGTGCGTGCATGTGTATGCGTGTGTGTGTGTGTGTGTGTGTGTGTGCACGTGTGTCCCTTCCTGAGCCCTCCGCGTCCCAGCTCCTTCTCCTCCACGCTCTTCTGGCCTGGGCCTGCCTCTTCCTTCCTTTATTCCTTTGGTCTTTCTCCCCCAATATGCTCACCCCTGGGAACCCCATGACCCTCATCCTCTCCCTTCCCCTTCTCCCCTTGCAATTTATTTCCTCGGAAATCAATTTCATACATTTATATCTATCATTTTAAAAATCTCTGCCTTGACTTTATTTGCCCCTTACCAGCTAGAATCCCTCCCTGCTGGGCCTCTTCTGCCCCACTGCAGGTGGGGACACGGGGGTGGAGGAAAGCTCCTGGGCCAATACCTGTGAAGGCTCGGAACACAGTGCTCCTGCACATGTTCCACCCTGTGACCCTCGGGCCAGTCATCCAGGGCTGGACTACCCCACCTCCGGACAGCTTTGCCCACTGATCTTCTGACCCAAAGAGAACAAGGGGCTGCACTCCAAGATGCACCATGGTTTCCCCACCCAAAGAGCTGATCCACCATTTGGGAATTGCTTATGTTATGATGTTCTCGTCGGTGGACGTGTCCTCAAGCCAAGGGGACTGTACCTAGTATGCACACACGTTTTTTAAACACATGTCATTTTCTAATTCATTTAGAATAATGCATTGGCAATTGCAGACAACCTCTGGAATCAAAGAAATTGGGCAATTTTCAAAAATCCAGGGAAACATCAGAAGTATTTTTAAAGACTACCTCTTTCTAACAACTGAAGATTGTGCTGCTTGCCACTACAGGAACATAGCAGACACGAAGCTCCAACCCTAAGATTTGCCTCTGGAAGCAGCTTTAGTTCCTATACTAACAGGAAATAATTGTCAGTTATTATTATTAGGAATTATGACTTACTGAGCACATACTATAYGTTATTATTAAGAAGCATTTAATATGTACAAAGACTTCACAACAAATCATTAAAGTGGGTGTTTGTACCCATTTTACAGATAAAGAAACTGAGACTCAAGAGAGGTTATGCAGCTTCCCCAAATCAGACCACTGACCTATGGCAGAATCAGCTCTCACTCCGAACCTTTGTTCTCCTCAACACACAGGAGAAACCCTGTGCAAGTCCCTTAGTCTTCCTAAGAGAGTTCCTGGGGAAACTCTTCAGGGACACACTTGGCCATTTTTAAGGAAACACAACGTATAAAAATCCAACTCTAAGTTCATTACAAGGTTGATTTTTTTTTTTTTTGGTATCAGGGATTGAATCCAAGGATTTCTACCCCTGAGCTTCACCCCCAGCCAGTACCCCCTCTTTTTTACTGTATTTTGAATCAGAGTCTCACTAGGTTGCCGAGGCTGGTCTTGAACTTGTGATCCTCCTGACTCAGTCCCCTCAGTCACTGGAATTAGTCACTAGGCAGGCACAATYAGCCTAGCTTGATACTTGATTTTTAAGAATTTCCCACAGCCTTCCTTTAAATGAACCCTGACATTTAAAAAAAAATTAGGGCTCAGTTTAGAAAGATGACATTTACTGAAGCTTCTCAGAAATACATGMATTCCTTGAACCATCGTGTCCATCCACAAATAGCTGTCTACAGCAAAACAGAGTACACAGAAACACCACCTGACTTCACACCAGTGTGAACCATATGGGAGGACCCAGCTGAGAGCACGCACACACAGGTGCACAKACACACACCTGCAGGCACGGGCACATACCCACACTGTTACACGGGCCTGCACCCTGCACTTGCACGCACGAGCAGAAGCACACCCAGGGCTCCACCTGAAATCACTTTGCCTCCTAAGAGAATGTCAGAGGGCTGAACAGTGGGGCAAAAGGTAATCAGCCCAACGCCCCTCAAAAATAGACCCTCCAGCAGAGGGAAGATGATGTCCCTTCAGCATCCAAGGGACATACTTGGCCACTTTTAAGGAAARTGATTCTTRATTCCAGAGGTTGTCTGCAATTTCATCTCAGACCCTCTCTGGGCTCTTGTACCTTCAGTCCCCATTTCCTACCACCTCTGGCTTGGAGGTAGCCCTGCCTCCTTGTCCCCCACCCACCTTCCTGGGCCAAACTCTCAGGTGCTTCAAGCAGAGATGTGGGTGTGGACCTCACATCCTACTGGGGAGACTATCCTAAKGAAGAGAATCTCCTTTTCCTTCTTTCATTTTCTTTTTCTGTCTCTAACCTTAACATATGAATGACCCTAAAGTTTTGATGTTCTTTTTTTTTTCCTTGAACTAAACCATCACTTACAGGGGGAAAGGGGAAAGAAAGGATCTAGGGGGCCTAAAGGGGATAAGGGAGACCAAGGAGCACCTGGATTAGATGCCCCCTGTCCACTGGTATGTTTTCATTTCTCAATTGCATTGTTCTGGTTTTTTCCTTGAGGTTTACAAGCTGGAAACAAAGAAGGCAAATAGAGTATCTGTTCCCTTGAAATCCTGCCGGCTGTTGGTRTTGCCTTAAAACCACAGCTGCAAATAATTAAGGCTAAATCCTTTTCCTTTGAATGCTCTTCCTTTGAAGATGCAGAACAATGGATGCTTGGAAGTGAAGAAACCATGTGGAGAGGGAACTGGGGCGGAGGCCTGGGCTCTTGGGTTCCAGCATGGCTCTGGGAGCCAGGGTAGCCCTTGGGGGCCATGAATTTGCCTTCTTTGTTTTGGGCCACTTCGGTGGCCAGCGGTTTGGTTGTCTCAATGCTCACTCGGTCAGGATGCAGGACACCAGAGTTAGCATCTCCTGAGGGTCACTGATACTTCTGGGCAGAASGAGGCCAGACCAGGGGCTTCTCCACACAAAGCCTCCGAACACCYGCCAGCCCCCTAAAACCCAGAAAGCGGGAGACAGACACCCAGCAGGAAGGCACCCCAATGAGCCAGGATCTAAAGATCTGTGGCCCCTCCGCCAGGCTTCCCAGGTGCTTTTCAATCCATGGGAAGGTTCTAAAAATTATGACGGGCTGAAGTTGAAGTTACCTGAGATTATTTGGTGTGGGTCTGTAGAGGGAGGTGTGGGTCCACAGAGGGGGCTGGCTGTGCGTGATGAGCTCTCCCSAGTGCAATGAGAGCTCAAGGCCGAMCTGGGAGATGGRGGATCAGCTGGCGTCTTGCCTTTATTCGTTGGTGACTTAAGGGTCCTGCATCCTGGCCAGGGTAGGACTGCGCCTCTCCACTCCGCAGCTGGAGCTGGCCAGCCTTGACCTAAATAATCATCGTGGTTGGTTTCATGAACAGGGACACCGAGGTTTTAAAGGAGAGAAAGGGGAGCCGGGGTTACCAGGGCTGGACGGACTGGATGCCCCCTGCCCATTGGTATGGCACCACCCTCCCTTGCCCGCATGGCCAATTTGGGCTTCCCTACGTGTGTGGTTTGTACCTGCGTGCCCCCACACTCCTGTTCCTTCCGCCCAGCTCCCACTTCCTGTGGTGTCTGTAGACACCTAGGGTCACCCTGCCTCTGCTGGGGCACCCGGCCATGCTGCCCTCTTGCATGCAAAGTTTGCTGGGGTGTTTTCTTGGCCTCCCGCAGCCACTTCTGCAGCACATCTCCTTGTCTGGGCCATCCTCCCACCCTTGATGTAGGACAGGCGAGGCTGGACACCTGAGGAATGATCAGGAAGCAGGTTTATGGCTGCAGCGGTCCAGAGGAGGCTTGTGCCTAAAAAAAAAAAAAAAAAAGAAAAAGAAATCTCTGGACCATGAGTCTGGGGAAATTCTTTGAACTTTATACCCAGTGGGAGGAGAGGTTTGAAGGTTTACATGAAAAGTGCTTTTTGTTCCATTTTTTTTAGACTAGACAGACGTTTCACAAGTCTTTACCACAGAAAGCAGAAGTAACAATTCTTGGTTCACCATCAAGTTAGCGGSCAAATTTAGCTTTTGCAAGACACAGCACTTGGCCCTTACAGAAAATAGGAAGCTCCAAACCACTCTGAGTTCTTTGCAGAAATTTTTGCTGCTATTCTGTTAATAAGAACAATTATGATGAGTCTCTGGAGAAGCTTAATTACAGAGAGAGTCTTTTGGATACAAATTACCTGGTCCGCTTCACCCTAGGGCAGTTGGGGCTGCATCTGAGCCTCATTGCCCAACTGCTCCTAGGCAGATCTGCCACCTGCGTCCAAACTAGAAAAGCGGGCGTCCTCTGGATAGCTTCTTAGAACTGTGACTCCTTTTTCTTCCTGTGTGTAGCTGAACACCTGGCAAAATGTCGGCCTGCACCCCTGCCCTTTCCACCCCTAGCAGTTTGGCAGTTTGGCAAGGGACAGGTGGACGTGCTTCTAGACATAGGGCAGGCTGAGAAGTGCCAGAACTGTGGTGGAGAAGAGGGCTACCTGCCTATTCTTCCAGGCTGGGTCACTGTCTAGGTGACACCATCAGAACTAGGGGATAGTCCCAGATCAGGTGTTCAGATCCCAAAGGGTTCGTCCTCATGTAAATCCCTGAAGACATTACAAGACCCTGGYTTGAGGTCCTGGTCACTCATCTTCCAGTGGCTCATGCTGAAGAGTCTGGGGGAGATGGAACAGGCAGGAGGCAGGGAGATGGCCAAGGATCTCCACGTAGTCCTCTTAACTAACTACAACAGAAGAAGGTGGCCCTCGATTCCAAGGGGACTGGCCCAGGAGGCTCCTGCTGGCCCTGCGCTTCCCCGGGAAGGCGGGAGTTCAGCCTCACRTCCCTGCCCTGGAGTCACTCAGGAATCCTCCTTGAATGAAAAACAGTTTAGGAGTGACTATAAAACCCCTTGAACGACACTGGGGACATTTTAAGACCAAAAGGTGAGCGCAGGACGAGCAGGCAGAGCAGCTCGCTTCGGGACCCCGCCCGTCCTGCGCGTTGACCCCGGCCCCTCCTGCGGCATGCGCATGCGCATGTTTCTTAACCGTGGAGTCATCCTTGGGCTGCGACCCACACACACCACCCCCTGAGAACCCTGAGAGGGCCGGGCTGCCCTCCTACTCCTGCACTTGCTGCTTCTTCTCTGCCAGTCGGCACCCATGCGCTGCTGCCCCTGTCACCATCCACGTCCCAGTGGGAATGCCAAGCAGCCCACGGAGGCTGGGCTCCCTCCCAGAGTCCTGTGTGCAGAGTGGCACAGCGCAGCCTGGTGGGCCGAGAAGGGGACAAGGGTCACCGTAGAACTGTGGGATGCACTCCTGCCATCCCCTCCCGACCCAGAGGGGAAATGGAGGGCGTCCTTACTTAGCCATTTCCACAGTTATGTTTTCTCCAATAACATCCCATAACCCTGTGCCTTTGCCTTTTAATTTTTTGTGGGAATGCCCATAACTTCCCTTTCTCWTTTCCCATCCCACCTCCTGCATTGTGTTTTTGTGGCCCTGGGGGCAGGGAAACGATAGATCAGGACATGAGATAACTAGACATTGACCTTGGCTCAGCGCTGCTGAATGCCAGGTGATGAGAGGTTGGGAGTCTGGCRTGGGTAGGGGAAGTGGGTCCGGGGCACGGAGGAGTCCTGAAGACTGAGCACTTGCTCCAGCCCCCTGAAACCCCGGGCCTGCCTCTGTCTCTGCCCTGGAACCTGAAGTTCTGGAGTCTGGACTGCCTCCCTAGGCCTGCCCTGSGTTCAGCTCCACCCTCCCCACCTTGCCTCTAGAAGATTCTAAGTTCCCCTGGGGTATTCAAGAAAGAACAGGATGTTAGGCCAGAAGACTGGAAGAGTCCGTCACTGTGGRCAGAACATCCTGAGGTTACAAGGTGCTCCGTGGTTACCACCATGAGCAGTTGCTGTGTACTCTGCTATAGCATTTTGCCCCAAATACCCAGCAATGTCCAAGGCMGGGCCAGAACACTCTGTCCTCTAGCTGAAGACATCTCTGGTTCACATTGCAATGCCCCTGAGGCTGCTTGTCCCTTGAACTCCAACCTACCCACTGACCTTCATGGAACTGTCCAGATATCCTCCTGTACTTAGGAAGAGAGGCAAGTAAGAGATCAGGGAGTGGGTGGGCTGGGACCCTCATTGCATATCTCCCCTTGCCCAGGTTTTGCAGAGGAAGAAATTAAGGCCCAAGTKCGAGGTGACTTGAGCATCCAGCACTTTATAGAGCTGGAGCAGAGACTGCCTCTCAGGGCACTCAGGGACATCTGTGCTTGCTGACTGCACAGGCTTGGACAGCCCCTCTTGTCCTTGCACTGCAGGTACATGTGACCTTAGCCAATGTCAATGTCAAAACAAAAACAACTGCATCGRTTTCCCATGCCCTTGCAAGGTTCTGACCTCAAGCAGAGAGAAGAAATAGGCAATAGTGGGTGGGCCGTGTCTGATCATTGGCTGGAAGGTTTGAGGCTCTTTKTACCCCTGCCCTGCTTGCTTGGCCTGAGTCTGAGGCTCTGCTTCCCTTCTCCTTGCAGGGTGAAGAYGGCTTACCAGTCCAGGGCTGCTGGAACAAGGTAAGCTTCTCAGGCTTGCGCTGCCTGGGGACAGGGGTCTACTGCCCTCCCCCATGGTGCCTTAAAGTTTGCAGTGCTTCCATTCTGTCTTTCCACAGATGAGGCAGGAAGACCAGGGTGGGGAAAAGCCCTACTTCAAAGGCAGGGTGCCTGCTAAACATCCCAGGTGCTGCTGGCCCTCAGAGGACATTTTAAAATGCTTTTTAAGGTGTCCGCAAACCCCAATGCCTGGAATTTCCATGTACCACCCAGACGTAGGAGCTCCGGRCCGTGTTTTGAAATAGATTACCAATGCCTGCTCTTGTGGCATTCAGATGAGGTCATTTGAGCCATATAATGGTATTTATCCAGATGTAAAACATCTACGCTGCCCAAACTCTCAACTCACATGGCTTCTATGCCTCTGGATTGCCTGGCTCACCACCTTGCGCTTCCCCCTGAACTTGAGCTGTCAGGGCCTTGTGTCTGCTCAAGTGCCCCTGCAGCCCAGCCTCTTCTGGGTTCCCAGAGTCCCCACCAACAATGACATTTCACTTACTCACACTTGCCTTGGCCTTTGCCATCATGAAGCACTCTGAGGCCACAGAGCCAGCTCTTCCATGAGATCCCCCACCCAGCCAGCACTCCCCAAGGCACAGGACTCCCCGCCTAAGGGCCACTGACCTACAGATCCGGAAGCCCCCCTGCGTCCCCAGCATAGGTAGCAGCAACCGTGCTGCCCCGTGCAACATCCTCCACCTGCCCTCCTCCACCAATTTCTCAAGGTATTAGTGTGTTGCTTCTTAAAGGTCCAAGCCCAAGCTGCTCGGGAGTTGGTGCTTCTCTAGKCCAGTCCTGTTTCGGGGGATGGCAGAGCCACACTTACAAGGAGACAAATAAGCTCCTCCGTGCGATGCTCAGATGCTCATTAGCTCACAGGGTTGGGTAAAAGCAGYGAAACCATGGAGACGTTATGCACTAGGCTGAATACCCACTTGCCGGGGGTGCCCCCTAACAAACACAGGAAAAGCCCAATATTCAAGGGAAATGCCTCCCCAAGAATCTGCCCCTCACACCAAAACTCACCCTCTTGTCCAGTTCCAGAAAGACCTAGTTAAAGCTTCACGGAAGCAGGTAAGGAGTGTGTCCTGTAAGACCCCCAGGCCCTTTTCCTCCTAAAAAAAAAAGAAGAAAAGATTTTCTTGTTTAAGTTGGCTGCCAGTTGTCAGGAAATTGAAATACTTGAGCTTAACAGAGGAACCACAGCCACTACCCACACCTACAACAGAGCCAGGCACAGTGGCACAGGCCTGGGATCCCATCTACATTCAAGGTTGAGGCAGGAGGAGGATGGCAAGGTCAAGGCCAGCTCGATAATTTAGGAGACCCTGTCTCAAAATAAAAATTGGAAAGGTCTGAGGATGTAGCTCAGTGGTAAAGAATCCCTGGGTTCAATCCCCAGTGCTGCCAATAATAATAATWATTATAATTTTTTAAAAAGGACCATGACACCTTAGGAAGCAACTAGAGGCCCTCTTGGCTATTCACTCCCTGGGACCTTGCTGAGATCAACCTGGCCTCTAAGACAGCACAGAGAGTGCCCTCTGGTGGGAACAAGGGGAAATGACTGAAAGGTGAAGATTGTGTTTCCCACCCCCAGGGGGCTTGAAGTCCACCAGTTTCTTCCCACTAGGAGCCTTATGATTCCTCAGTTTCCCTATAAAGAGCCCTCATGCAATTTAGGATGAGATACACCCCCTTTCTTTCAAGGAAGGAAGTATCCAAAGACCCCTTGAAACTAACCGAACGTTGTTTTGATTTTGTTTTGCAGTGATGCCTCTAACCTTGGATTGGCCTGTGTGTGTTTTGTACATAGAATATTTATTTTTATACAGTTTTCACTTTTTGAAAATGCCAGAAGTATGATGCATCTTACAGATTATTAAAAAAAAAAGAAAGAGAGAGCGAGAAACCTGCATATTTTGTACAGAAAATAACCCCTTCCCTTTTGTTTACAAAATGTTTTGTATAAGTCTGCGTCTCTAATACACTTTCTGTTTGTGAGTACGGTCCTAATGTTTGCATGATATTTGTGCACACTTATTAAGTTTCGAAGCTTAATAAATGATCGTGTTTCAGTGCCAAAGAGGGACAGCCAGCACTGAGGTGCTGCTAGCTCATGTGTGAATTCACATATACGTGGAGGTCCGTGATGTTTGCCAGACTAGGTGTATCTGAGAATATTGTAAACTCTGTGGATTTTCATTATTAAAAAGAAGAAAAAAGGAAACATGGCAATTCAGGATCCTGATTAACTACTCAACAGACTCTTTCTTGTGCAAGCAGGAAATCCCAGAAGCAGGGGTCCTCAGAAGTATGGAGCAATGTTTTGAAACGTTAATTCCAACAGAGAGAGAGGGAGGGGTCTCTATGAGGCAACGTCTATTGTAACATTTCCCAAGTTCATCCCAGAGCCATTTAAGCATGGAGGGGTCCGTTGTGCCTGAGACCTCCAGGAACACAAAGGGGCCATGTGTGACTGCTTTTGGGTTTTGGTGGAATGTTGTGTTTTGTTTTCGAGCTACACTCACTACCACCAACTCCTGCAGATCACATTGTTGGCTTGATAGGAATTTGAGGGCCACCCATGGCTGCAGCGAAGGGGCTTCCCTTCATGCTCCGTTCTACTCCGACAACTAGTTAGAAAATTCACCAGATCCAGGTCAGGTGGGGCCAGCCTGAAGTTGTTTTTATTTTTTAAAAGAGTTGTACCGCTTTCCATTCATAGCTTGCTGCTTTATGCGGGTCTCAGAACACCTGCTTTAATGGTGAGGTGTTATTTTATTATTCCAACCGTGAGGTAGAGCATGCAGGTTTATCRTTAGCTATGTTACAACATAAATTGTTGCTTCCCCAGGGCTCGAAAACAACAAACGACCCTGGGAGTTTCAACACACACCTCCATCTTGTTCACAGTGGACATTTTATATGGACATCTTTTCTTCACAGTCAGCACAAGGGGAACTGGAAACTCTACACACAGACTTGGCATCAGTGGGCTTTGCATTCCTGAGAGTCCTGTGGGGTGGGGGTGAGCTCAGGCTCTCCGGCTCTGGCTGCCCGGACCCCAGGGGTGATCCCAGCATTCTCTGTCTCAGGGTCCACTCTGTTATTTTTGAAACCAGATCACTGCTTCCTCTAAGTCTCAGCTTCATTGTTTCCAAAGCAACACTGTTGAGCTAGAGTTGATCCCTGTGGACACCAATGGAGCTCCTGTGTCCCCTTCCCAGGAGGCAGGAGCTTGCAGCCACCCAGACCCCACACCTCTAGCTGGCCCCAGTGCTTTGCCCATGGAGCCCTGTGGTGTGTTCCAGCCCATCCCAAGCCAGGGACACCTCTCAGCCTGAGCCAGACACCCACGACCCTACCCAGGGCGGCTTCCCATGGGATGCAGTGGCCACTCAGCTGGACCTACGGTTCTTTTAAGGGTCCCCAAAATATTTTAATTTTTAATGCTTTTAGATTTAGAAGGGGAAAAAATGAATATATAACAATGAATCCAGCCTAGATTGCAAACAGTCAGAAATACAACTTTTTATGGGGCAAGTAATTCACAAAGAGGAAAAAGTGCCCAGGATCTCTAAAAGTCATCAAGTGGCCTGCCGTGTGCTCTGCTCCTTGAAATCCGCCCTCACCTTGACCCTCTGGGTTATCCCATCTCCAGGGCTGACACCCCCCCACCCCTGGTGGGGACCTAGAAGTCAAAGTTGCCTGTTTTCTGAACCCACTGTCTGATGGCTTTGGGGCTCCGGTTGGAGCAGTCAGCCCACTGTTGATCTCAGCTGAGACTCCAAATCAGCTGATGGCCCCGGGTGAGTCTGGGCACCCAGAAACCACCTTCTGCTTCAGATCTTTGTTCCCATTTACCCACCGTCCCAGCTAACACCACGGAGGACTGGGTCACTGGTGAGGATGAACGCAAGAAGAGAGAAAAATATGTAGAAAGAAGTTACAAAGTCAGAGTCAAGGAAAAGTARGTGACAGGGACGCCCTACCTGGACAGGAGCGGTCCTCTCCCTTCCTGAGATCACGTCATGCTGTCTTCGGCCTGGTTGTGGCCCCCATACTGCCCTGCCCAGTGAGCTACAGTTCACAGAGGTTTGGCCCCAGACCATAAGCGYATTACCCTGCCATGTGGTTGGGGTCCCTGGACCCCTCCGCCAGGAGCCCCCTCCATCACAGGGCAGTGGGCTCCTGACTCCAGCCGGGTCTTTTCCACTTGGATCTTAACTCTGTACCAGGCAAGTGCAGGGAGGTTGGATGTAGGAAGAGGAGTCGTCAAAAGTCTGCAGGGTCGCTGGACTTCAGTGCTAATGCTCAGGGGACCGGGACAATTGAAAAGGGGAACTGTAGAGTGGGAGGATGGCACAGAGAAGCTGGGGCCCCAGAGAGCTCATGGAGGTCAAAGTCTCTGGCTCCATACTGGGGGCCTGGCTGCAGCCAGGGAGTCAGAGATTCACCGGCTCTTACCTGGGGCAGACTTCCAGCACGTCGTTGGTAGAAGATTTTGCAAACTGCRAAGAGCTGGGTCTTGAAGGCTTGGCCTCCGGTGGTTACTCTGTGGTCCCAGTACCTCTTGCTGTGGTCTCTGTCACAGAGGGGGGACACAGGTGGCCCAGCATTTTCCACTTCCCAACATGCAAACATCTAGCTTGACACGCTGTGAGTGACAGCGTGACAGGTTCATCCAGGCCCAAATAAGGACCCTCCCAAGATGGGCAGCTTATGCAGCTGTGGTCACGTGGGTCCCAGGAAGCCTTGCCAAGGAAGGGACAGCCTTCCCCCCACGCCCAGGCTGCCCCGTCTCGGCCCCCACCCAGTGCTTCCTCCCTGCTGGGCCAGCAAGTCCAGAGTCTGGGTTTCTGGTTCTCTCTACTCTGACCACTGTCTGGCCTTGGGCAACTCACRTCAGGTTCAGTGTCCCAAGCATCARACAAGGAAGSCASACCTGGGTAGCCTCCACGGTCCCCCAAGCCCAGACACCCTGAAACCTTCTGATTCCATGGAGAGGTGAGCRCCTGGAAGACCAGATGCTGGAGCGCTCCTGCCCACTCCCTGGGGTTATTTGGGGTAACATCATGCATGGCCGTGGGATTGCAGAACTGCATGTGGCCTGCGTGTGGCCTGCATGTGGTCTGCGTGTGGCATGCGTGTGGCATGCGTGTGCTTCATAACCCTCAATAACAAAACTTGAGTAGGCTGCATCACGTGGCGGAAGAGCTTCCTTGAGAGCCACAGTGGTGGCAGAGGGCGTGTCTCACGGTGGCTCCACACTGGGAGATTGAGAATCAGCCATACAGCCTCAGCCATGTGGCACRCAGGGGCTCCCCAGGGATCCCCAGCTCTCAGGGCCACGGCGGGCACGGTCAAGTTTGCCACCTTCCCTATCAGGCCCCCTGTGTCCCTCCCACTCAGGCAACTTGAGGCATCAATCACCTGAGACTCTCAAATACTTAAAAAGAGGAGAAAGTGGGCGTCTGATGAGTGGTCAGTAGAGACCCCACCAAGATGGAGAGCAGAGGAGGGGAGCAAGGGGGCCAGAATCTTCAAGGGCTGCCGCTGGTGGAGGGGGTGGCGCTGCAGGGCAGGAAGCGCCACCTCAGACCCTCAGGCCGAACCCCATAGGCAGAGTGACCCTCTGGCTCTAGGAAACACCGTGTCTCTGRGCAGCAGCCATGCACCTGTGGAGGGGACAGCTGGAGCAGGGCTGGGCTGGGGACCAAGCCCTTCCCCAGGGGGCCTTCCCCAGTGGGCCCCGCCTCRAGGTCTGCTCAGGGTCCTCTGTGGACATCTCTGCTGTCCCCCTCCATCGCCCACATGGGCTCCTCTGCCMGAGCCCTTCTTCCCCATCTGTCATGGTGACACAGGTGCCATGGCCCTGGGAAGGTGCTTCTGGGCTCCTCGGGTGGCCATATCTATCTCCCTTGTCTGTTATCTGGAATGTTCTTTTTTTCCTCTACTTTACATTGGGGGTGRGGGAGGGGCATCCCTGCAGAGGGTGAACAGAGAGGACAAGGACTTCCCTATTCACTGGTCTCCTCAGGGTCCTCCAGGTCAGGGCTCATCCACATCTGGGGAGTTATCAGTCTGCTTTATGAAGCACCTACTATGTGCAGGCTCTGTGCTTCCTGCCAGTCACTGGGAGGGGAGGGAAGAGACCACCCTGGATGGTGAGGCCCGGGCCTTCCCTCCAGGGCCAGCAGTAGCCAGCAGTGCCAGGACGTGCATGCTCAGTGCTCAACGGGGCACAACAGCCAGGGCTTGGGCTCCTGAGAACAGAGGACACTCCGGTGGCCAGTGTGGCCGGGGTCAGCCTGGAGTGGGAGAAGCTGGCCACTGCCCACAGAGGGGCCCTCCCCTGGCTCGTGCTCCTTTCCCTGTTAGAATCTTCCGGTGAATGTGAGCCTGGGCCGTGCTTGCTTCTCAGCTCAGGGGAGGACGAGTGAGACCGTCCAGGGGAAAGCCCGTAGAGAGGACAGGTGCCAACCGTGAGGGGCTGGGAGTCTGGCCAGGTGGCAGCTGGGTTGGGGAGACTCTGGCCTCAGGACGCCCCCATGAAATGGGCCACTGTCCAGCAAGCCTCCTCTCAAACACCTCCTTCTCTGCACCCCYTCAAGGGCCAGAGTCCCTGGTTAGTCGCCAAGAAGTGAGGCCAGCCCAGGCCCGCGGGAAAGCGCCTGCCCAAGAAGGAAGATGGAGGAGCCGCCCCTGCACAGAGGGTCGCGGCTGAACCCTCCCGAGGGCCTGGCTCAGGGGCTGATGGGAGTGTGACCAGGGGAGAGGAGGCCTGTGCCCTGGGGCGGGAGCTCTCTGCTCCTCCAGCTGCAGCCACCTTCAAAGCTCTCCTCTGAACTGTGGTTCTCTGAGCAGCGCCTGGGCAGGAGGGCTGTCAAAAGCCTTCCCAGGAGGCTGTAGCCGGGACCTGTCATCCTTCCCAGCTCCTCCTCAAAAGAGTTCCTCCTGGTGGAGCTGAGCCTTTCACCCCTTCACTTCTGGGTTTTTCAAACGCTGTGAGCTGACTCCACCGAGCTGGGGAGAGGAAGACAAGAGAAGCTCGCAAAGCCAGGCTGGGCCATAGCGGTGGCCGCCCGACGGGCCCTTAGAACCAGGAGACCGGGGATGCCCCTGGCACCGCGGAACCAGGGTGGAGAGCGAGGCAGCCATCTGCACAGTTCCCAGGGGGTCGCCAGAAGCCCCCCCTTCCTGGAGCAAAGTGGGAGAAGGAAATGAACCCCTACTTCT